ATATCCCTTTATATCCTTTACACTGTTCTGGTTAATTCGTTTCTTTTTCCGGGTTTGTCTACGATCAAGTCCTTTCTTTTAAAATAATTTTACAATCAAACTGAACATATAGTTGAAATGACAGATTTAAAGAGAACCCGGTCGTTTCGCCACGAGGAGCTTTTACCACATATCATCCTGCTACTATGATGTTATCGCGCCATTAACTAAACCAGGAAATCGCTCCAAAGGTCACAACTGGCCCTTCTCACCTCCTTCCTGCTCACAGAACTCTTCAGTTCTGAGAACGGAAAGTACTGATTCAGATCGATGTAGCCGAATTAAGAGAATAGGGTCAAACAGCATTACCCAATTATCCGTAGAATGCGCGAAGGATGAGGGGAGACTTTAAGTGTCGATTACTTCCGGCGATGGCGCAAACTCGTGTCTCGTTAATTTGGAAACGAAAACATACGCGACTGGGTAGTCATGACGCACTCTGCTCACATGCAAAAATAACTCTTTGCTGATCATTTTCACGGGAAAGAACCTTTTCTCCCATTTCGCCATCTCTTGATAAATGAAAAGCAGCCTTGATCTCCTGTCATCTCTCTTCATTCTTTCCTTCTCAGACAACTTAGACTTCATTGCCGGTGGCACCGCTACACGCCTTGCATTGAATAAGACCATTGAGGAAATCGTTCCTGAGGCCCGAAAAGACAGCAAGAGGGCTTTGTTCCTTATAACTGACGGCAGGTCCAACATCGGTGGTGATCCCAGCGCAGATGCTGCGATACTGCGTGACTTCCAGAAGTTTGAAATCTACGCTATTGGTGTAACAGACAGCGTGAATGAAAAGGAACTGCGCAGTATTGCTTCTGAACCCTTCAGAACGCATGTGTACCTTCTTAAGGACTTTGATGATTTAGCCAAGCTTAAACAGCTGATCACAGCCAAAGGAAATGGTGAGTACATTTTCTTTGACTTTTATTATTATATCTCCCATCGTATACTTACTTTGTTAACTTAAAAGGGCGTTGGCAGGATCTTCTGGTCCTAAATCAGCTTCTAACCTTTCTTTCGGGGCACTTCAGGATCTCTTAAAGCTATACTCTTTGGCTAGGTTTGCTGTATGCGTCTGTGATGTATTTTATGCGAATAAAATCCGAGACAAATTTGTCCGTCAGAAACCTTTTATCGTATTTCCTTTCACACATAACAAGGTAACACTTTCAACACACCAATCACCAATTTTTGTGTGAGCAGATTACAGTGAATGTGGCATCGCAGGAGATACTCAGCTGAGAAATGACGATGATGAAAATTTCGGCTCTGTCGGTGGAGAGGAGGCGAAGCCAGGAGCCTGGCCCTGGCAAGCAGCTATCTACGTGAAGGGAAATTTCCGGTGTGGTGGTGCACTTATCAAAGGGAACTGGGTTATAACTGTGGCGCACTGCTTTTTCTACGATGGGGCTGTGAAACCGAAAGATGTTATCGTAAGGATGGGTAAGTCAATCAGAGATATTAGATACAGGTATTTTAAAAACAAGCGTGATGTGGCTATGATTACAAAACGATAAAATTGTAAAAAAAAAGAAGAACTAAAAAAAAAAGATGTTAAGCTGAAGATGTCACATCACATTAGTGTACCATGCTTGCATCTCTTTAAAAGTATCTCTCCTTCTCTGTGAGGACCTCGGTGCCAGGCTGTAGGCTACACTATGTTCACCAGACCAAATAAGGCTGAAACTAGTAGAAAATGGGTAGAAAAGCGTCACACTGACGATTTTTGATTTATGCTCCCATTCAGCCTCAAAAATTGCGAAGAAGAAGGATATACAAATAACCCATCAACTCCCACAGGTGACAAAAACAGAATTTCTCCTCACAATATCAAGCGAACAAGTGATGAGAATAGAAGAAGATATCGATAGGAGGATTCTTAGTTGATCCAATACAAAATTCTCCAAACTAACGTCATAAGAATTCTGTAGCAGACAGTGAGGAGAATTACTAATGAGACCTTTGGGGCAAAAGGACAATAATAAGCCACGATATCCCCTGCGTTCAAAAACTGATGTGCACTCTAACAGATTGTAGCCTTTGTAATTTTTCTGCGATTGGCAAGCGCGTCCCAGACAAACAAATGTTATTGCGCATGTTGTTTTGTTTGAAAAGTTGCCTCTAAACAATATCACTGGTAAAAAAAAAACAAAACAATTAAAAGCTGATTATAAAGTCTAACAACTCTGTACTTTAATTTGAAAGAATTTCTTAGCGGCGAACTGCTGATGTTTTTATACGACGTAACATTTCTTAACTTCCTATTTCCTTGTGTAAACAAATCGAAGACGATCTTGCCAGAATTAATAACGACTTTCGATTTTAACCTGTTAGGAGAACACAATCGTTTCAAAGAAGAAGGTGCTGAGCAGAATATCGGAGCAAAGAAGGTTATCCTGCATCCAAATGCGACCCGGGGGAACTTAAATATAGGAAATGACTTGGCTTTGATTCGCCTAAAGCACGCCGTGAAATTCTCACCGTTGGTGAGAACTGTATGTCTCCCAGAACCCACGGATGTGTTCTACGTCAGACCACGAAAAACGTGTGTAGTAGCCGGTTGGGGATCTTCTCAAAAGGTTAGTACGCGTTTTCCGTCTCTAAATGCTCTCCTCATGTGCGTTCTCATGTTCTTCTCTCTCCTCATTGCGCCTGGAGAATTTCAGCCCCAGCTAATGTCGGATTTTCGGTATCTTAAGTCAACACAAACTGATCTAGAATTGCTCAAGAAATTTGTGATGTAGAGATATCCCCGCAAAGAGGCGAATTGTCCCTCGTTTCCGTTCAAAAGAAACTTTTCTGTTTGACGTTCAGTCGTAACAGGACTTCTCCTGTTATAGGCACTCTTTAGAATATCATTACAAAGGCGAAAATTGTGCGCGAGATTGTAGAAAAGGTAAATTACGATGCAATTACTCATGAAATTCTCATTATGGAGAGGCTCTGTGCAAACAGAATGTCTTACTCAAGAGCCCATCACTATGAACGTAGCAATGGCTTTGATTATTCTCTCAAGGAAAAAAAAAAAATCAAAACTTATTGTACCTAATCACTGATGCATGCTCTTCTTGCAGGTTTCGTCGGATGATTTAGCAGGCCCACCGAATGAAGTCCTGCAACAAATTCAAATGAAGTTCGTATCCCAGCGCGATTGCCGCGAAAATGCCACCAATGCCGCGGCAATAACAGAAAACGTTGTTTGTGCTGGTGACGCCACAGGAAAGAAAGATGCCTGTAAAGGGGACAGCGGTTCACCCCTTGTGGTAAGCGAAAGAGGACCTTGGAGGATATCATAGATGCGTCACTTGCAAACCTTAAGAAGTATACAGAAATAGCATCTTGCATCTTCTTAAAGACCTTCTCGTTGACAACTAAATGCTACATGGCGAGTTTTTGTTCTTCGTTTTAGGCGTATGACCGTTTCTTAGTCGTTGGGTCCGACTAAGAGCCACTTTAGCCCAAGTCGCTATTACTTATATAACTTATTACTTATATTATCTGTTTGGAAGGAAACGAGGAAACAAAAACTAAAAACGGAGACAACAAGATAGTCTGAACAATAACACAAGCCTGCGAGCGGGCTTAAAGCCAAAATCTTCATTTTACCCCGCAAAATGCGTCTCAATGCCCGACGAAGGGATAACTGTACTTCATTAGAAGCAAATATTTCTTTTTTCACTGATGTCCTTTTTATCTTTAGTGATTTTCGTAGTCGCTTCATACAAACTTTTTTTCCTTTCACAGATCAGACGTTCCATCGATGACAGCTGGGCGGTGATTGGTCTATCGAGCTGGGGAGATGGGTGTGCCACTAAAGGAAAATACGGTGTGTACACGCGACTGAAAAGTCATTTGCGCTGGATAAAGCGGAAGACGAACAGAAAAAATAGTAAGAAGAACAAAGATTAAAGAGAAGCGTTCGATCAAACTTAACGGAGAGTAGTAGGGAAGTAGGGAAGGGAAGATTCCCTGTTTTCATAACGTATATGGACAAGACTTAGATCTTTTAAGATCTGATTAAAATTGTAGTCTTTCTTTTGGTGATTTCCCTTATTTACCGCGGGGGGTGGGAGGGTGAGGGGCATCGATCACTATTAAGTCCTCCACTCCCTCCCCCCAAAGCGATAAACAAGGAGATGATTAACATAAATAAGGTTCCATGAACGAGAGTAGTTACCTCTTACGATAAACTCGTCAATGTTAATTTTCACCGGCAAAACACTGTTAACTACAATACTTTTTGCTGGAACTGTCACTGTATGGTTTAGTTTGCGGATAAATAAAGTGCACTGACGTACAATGAGGCTTATTTCTTGGTTGGTCTGAAAATAAGTAATGGCTTTGTCACATGATAAACAACATAGCACCTTTGAAAAGATAAATTAACGTATACCGTCGAGAATATTACCGATCAAGGCAGTTCGGAAAGCCGCAAAACTTGGAACAAAAAATTCAAATCGGCGCTCCTAATCCCCACAGTATCATTTCATTCAACCAATTTATTCTTGTTTTTCTCGTTACAATAATCCCACCAAAAGCGTAACCGTTGCTCCGTTTTCTGCATACAAACCCACACACACAAACCACAATTGTCACAATTCCTCCGTTCGCTCTGACGAAGGGCTACAACTCGAAACGCCGCCTTAGAAACTCCACACGGTGGCCAATTTACATTATCAACTCAGTTGATAATAAAAAATTACTAAGAAATATTTCCTCATGTAACAGTGATTATACCTTAGTCAAAAAGCTACCTACCAAAGGTATTCGATCATTTGCAGAATATATAGAGAACACCTCTTCGCGAAAACGCTCTCTACATTTATGACCTAAGAAAATAAAAATTAATAGTCGCTTCGAAGAATCTCACATGATATGGAAAGAAGGTGGAAACAACGCAGTACAAATAAGATATTCTTTTATTTCCATATGTTATTTCTAATGAAATTTGAGTGCAAGAATGTCACTTAGGGCTAACAGTCTGTGGATAATTGTTCCACCTCGATCTATCACTGTGTTTTCAATTGATTTACTTTATTTCTATTACAATGTTGTCACCACTGTCTCATAATCCTTTTCGAGGCTTTGCTCTTGTTGATTTTGAGCTGATCCATCCTGTGCTCATGTTCAGAGACATTATTTGAACCTGTTGATTTCCCGCTTCTCCCTCTCGATTGATGAGTGGACTGAAGAACCACAGGAACAATGGTTTTCTTTCCTACCTTCAAAGACTTCGGGAAGAAAAACAACCATAAAAATCTAAGAGTGGTTATAAAGGGGCAGCACTTATGTTACTTAATGCACGAAACTTTTTCTTGGGCAACCCTGAGACAGCCCAGAAGCAAACAGTGCCATTTGTCTGGTAATTAAATGATTGGTGTTGTAAGTGTTTCTGTCTCCAAAAATGGTCATGGAGGTTTATTAGTTAATACAAATACATCAGATCGTTTCCCTTACTCCTTTATCGAATAACCACTTTCAGCTGTGAGCCATGTTTGATACGTGTGTAAGAGCTCAGTTATTGATCACAATCCTTTACATCCCAACATCAGAATGCATATTCTCCACACTGTTTTCTGTACATTTACTATGGTACATGAAAGGAGATTATGCCTAACAATCAAGCGCTCATTTTTTTGTTGATCATTTCTCATTTTCTCATGACCTTAAGTTTTATTCAGCATTCATTATATTTTAGTCACACCTAGGAACTGAGTGTGAAGCAGGCTACGCCACTGTTTCTGTATCTCGTTGAACAGTCGCTTAAAGTGACCGTCGTCATTCCCTTTCAGAGCGTCACAACACCAAAACCAAAATTATCACAGTTACCAATCAGACAATAGAAGGAAAATGTCAAAATGATTAAAAAAGAGACCAAAGTAAAAACAAGCAAAGTGCCCGTAGCGAGGGAGACGTGCGTGAGAATGTTGCGATTGGTTATAGTTCGGCTTATCAATTAGATTCCATGATGCCATGCGTCTGTTCAGTTTCAACCCTTTAATTAACCCCTGACAGTGACAAGCATCTAATTTCTCCTTACAAGATCACCTCTGATTCACATATTCAGGTCATGGGAAAAAAAGGAAATAATCATCAAGTAAAGGAGGTCATAATTGTCAAACAAAATCTCCTTGTCAGCTCATCAGGAAATGTATAGAGAACAGTATGGAGAAAATGCAAACTGATGTTAAGGTCTAAAGGATTAAATCACAGATAAATTCAAAATGTGACAAGAACAATAAAGTGGCACACGGGGAGCAGCAGATATGTCGCTGCGTCGCTCATGCGTCACTGCAAAATGCGTTTTTTCGATGACGTCAACTATGCGTCAATCTTCCGAGAGATCATAAATAGGAACCAATCAAATCGCCTGTATAATTCAGCTTATCATGTAAATCTGATTGGATTAGAAGTTAGGGACCAATCAGATTAAATTAGAGAAAACCCATTGTAGTCCCGGATTAATTTCAACACTTAATTGAGAATTGCTACAATGTATTTGTACTTCCTTATCATGATCGCATATCTCACCTCATAAGCTTCCAATACTACCGTAATCGTAAGCTGGGCTGGCTGGACATTTTATCCAAGTCTCAAACCCTTTAGACCTTTCAAAATATTAAACATCAAGTCAGTTTATGTTAAGTGTCAGGTGGTCGTTTAGGGACTACTCCACTCATTATTCATCACGTGGGGGGGGGGGAGGGGGGGAAGGGGTTGGGGGATTGACATAGTTTTCAGGGGAACGGAAGTGAGATCAGTTATCGCTAATTAAGTATAAAGGGAGGACTACAGAAAATTGACCGTCAATGAAGGGGGGGGGGGGGGGAAGAGAAAGTCATATCATTAGAATACTAAAGAGCCTTAGTAAGGAACTGGTATTGTGACAAAACCTAAATTCTCCGATTTTTATGCCGATTTTCCCATCACGAAAATGTTAAGATAAGAAGCGAACCAAATTTCTAAGGCGTTGGCACAGCAACAAAGAACTTACCTTCCACTCGAATCATTGAATCTTTTACAAATCATTCTACATTCTTGAATATCCTGTCGGATATGCTCCAACAATGCCTCGTGTTGTTTGTTTAGTTTCTGGAAGAATGTTAATCGTTTTTTTATCCTGTTCGTGGTGTCTTCATTGATACAGTTTCTAAACGCATCCAACCTAAGCTTTTCTTTCTCAATTAACATGTCTTGTTGTTTCTGTGCCTCGCGAAACTGGCTCAGTAAGCCCAGGATCTTTTCACGACATTCAGTCCCTTCATCACCATTCTCCGCCACCTTTTTCCAATTATGAACCTCTGTCCGGATTTGCACCTACATAGAGGACAAAATTGCCTTTACTTGCAGGGCAAGAAACATTAAGGTTATAAAAAAAAATTCAAAAAGGTTCTTCCACAGTTTGGATCAGGGACCGAGGAACCGCTATTTCAAAGGTTGCAAAAAAAATCACAATTTAAAATTTGAAGGCGTAAACACCTGTCTTGGTAACTTTCAAGGTTTATTAGTCAATAAATGCAGAAAAAAATTAGTCACGATGACAATTTCGAAATTGTCATATTCTATGTAGATATTACATTTGTAATCATAACCATTACAATTTCCTCAAACGTGATTGGTGCATTTGCTGCTTTATTTGTCGTTAATCATTCTGTAGAGCTGTAATCAGTTAGCCATAATCGGACAGTTGAGGTAGCCAATATTACTAAGTCCACTCAACCAAATCCACCAATCACAGAATTAATCACAATAAACTAAGCAACAATCACTTATCCTCAAAAAATTGAGGAATTTCCAAAATGGAGAATTTTTTTTAATTTAGACACTATCTCTACGGGAGATATCTGACCTAAATGTATTTGTTGTTTTCGGAAATTGTAACGGTTATGATTAATTGGCAACAGGACTTCTTGTCGTCCAATTCTGTCCGTAATCGCACGAGTGATTGACAAATTGGACTCCGGCTTCGCAGTCGTCCAATTTTGTCAATCACTCGTATGTTTACAGACCGAATTGGACTCCGCTCGGTTCTATTACCATTAACATTTTGGTAGCCTCCCAAGACTTAGTGAAATCATTCACACCTGCAATATTTTCTTTTGTTCTTGATAATGCTGACAAAGTTTGGTAAAGTGTTCAAACTTGTAGTCCGGTGGAGATTGCGCGGTGGCGATTACCTATAGAAACGTTGTTAAACTTAAATTGGTCTTAAAATAAGTAATGACTTTGCCAAATGATACAAAACAAAAGCACCTTTTAAAAGAAAGAAAATGTATACCGTCAGGAATATATCCAAACAAGGACTTTGCTTTCCCCTTACCCCAGGAGTTAAATTTGTTGCAAAATGTCTAAATCGTGATTTGGGCGTGGCTTTTGGTGTTACACCCTAGTGATATTATTAATTTCTTGGAGGTTCTTCGTATTTTACATCAAAAAACCTGGCCTCGATTCAAACACATTCATTTGCAATTTAATCCTACATCAGACTAAAGAATTCTTGGAAGGAATTTGAAGGCGGTGTTATGATGGAAGGTTTCCATCGAAGCTTTCAGTGGATGATTGTAATCTCATGTTTACACTACACGTTATAAAGTTACACAGTACACGTACACATTTCATTAGAGATTATCACAACTCCATAGAAAGAAGGGCACAAAAAATATAATAGGATGAAAAAAAGGAGGAAAATAGTGATTCAATTAAAGCAAATGTTTCGCAAGAAGGAAGAAATTGAACCTGTTATCGGTGATATCAATATTGAAGCCAAGATAGCTGACTTACCTGTCTCACTGATACGAACATCAATACTACTAATTAACTAATGGCGTACACGAATTATGTTACACAAATGTTCACAAAACACTGATGGACTCTATCTTCGCTCTGTCTTTTCGTCGGTCTGTCGGTCAGTCACAAATTGAGAATAAACAAGGCTGAAACACACAACTCAGAAACAAACGTTGAGAAGCAAACAAAACGTAAAAACAGCACAAGACACATGTTTCAATGGATTGTCAGATTATATGCGAAGAGACATTTCAGCGAATAATTACACGAGATAGGCACTGATGGCAAACTGAGCCATAATGTGTGGGTAGAGAACTGGCTCATACATAGACATTTTCGGATACTTTAAATTACATAATCATAAAGTTTGACACGTTATTTTAGGATCTTCGCGTAACACTGAATGGAATAAACTCAACTTGAATCTTCCTTTCGGAGGATTACAAAAATCAATATCAATTTATGTGTGGAAGTGTCGAAATAAGATTGTCTTGATATAATTCAGAATTCTTATTGGCACGATCTGACAACTAGTTTCTGCTATTAGCCAAGCAGACTTCTTAACCTTCCTAATATTCTTTTCGATTCAATTTTTTCATCGGTTGACAACAGTATCCACTTTCGCTTGGCAAACACCAAGACGACGTACAGGAAGTTTGTGTCAACCTTAACTGACCAGACATAAATGAATCCATAGCAAAAAAAATTAATTATTAGACCCAATGTCGTGTTTATTTCTCCTACTTTTTTTAAAACGTTTCTTAAAAAATGAACAATATCTGGGTCAGAAAGAGACAGCCACTTACCGCAGTGTTATTTTGTTTTACCGGTGGCAATGCGGGTGGCTTATTCGCCAAGCCCACTGAACTCATCGTGGTTCCCATGGTAACCGGCTTAATAGGTTTGGTTATAGACAAGCAATCTATCTCCAACTTTCCCTGAAATTAACAATGTAAAATGTTGAAAAGTTTAGGTGTAATAATTCCAAAAGCTAAGCTCACCGTAGTATCACAGTTTGGGAAGCGTATTGTATTTTTTCGGCTCGGGGCCAGACATTTCTGTATAATCTACCTGTTTGCAAAAATGTTTGGGCAGTAAAGCTCTCACTTGTGATGGAATTATCCCATAGAATTTGTGCTTAGTGTTTATACATTGAAATAGAGATAATGGAAATAAACAGGTAGAATCCTTACCTGAGAAAGTTGTGGTCTGTCTGATACCCTTTGCGTCTTGGTTTCAATCGGAGCTGCAAATCGACTTAGTTGAGCGAGTTTGCAGGTGGTGACTTTTTTTATGTGAGTCGGTTTAATACGATAACACTTCCTTCCTCCCAACGTTCCAAATATGATTCCTTACTTGCTGGTTGATTCCAGCGAGCTAACTGTTTTGCTGCAGGTTTTGCGAATTCTATACAGCGTTAGTGTAATCTGATGATGTGAAGTCATCGTGTCAAAGGTGTGCTGTATTGACTGCAAGGTTAATACGCCCTGCAGTATTGCACATATGAGACCACATGCACATGTCCTTCTGCTAAGGTCCGAGCAGGGCGAGTCTGTGTCAGCGGTATCATAAACTGAGGTGTGGTTTATGAAATCTGTCAGCTTTTGTAGTGGTTCGTGAACGGCGTGAAAAACAAGACTCGACGCTTTGTTTACGTTGATAAGACAGAAGTGTCGAATAAAATGAGGATAAACCGTCTGCGTTTTAAAAGTGCGCTGATAGTTTGCAGCTTGTCGAAATATCAATGTGCCCAGTGTATAGCACGCTACAAGTAAAATGCTCACAAAAGACTCATTTTTTTTTGTAAGATTTTTGTGTAATTCAGAGAAGATGGGTGGGAATTCAGGGAACCTGTTGATTTTTCACAGGTTCAGATGGACCATATGATAAGATTTGCGTAACAAAACAGCTTTCGTTTGTGTTGCCAGGTGCGGCTGTTTAGTAAAGACGAGATCCACTTAACACCGAAAGTGACTTCAGAAATTTGGCAAGTAGCCGAAACATTTTACAAAGATGCAGATGAAGTATAACCAAAATAAGTAGTACAGTCACCATTCATAGGCAGACACATGAAAATATTATGCATTCAGCTCGGGACGTGTGACCAATTCAACCAATTAGTTGATAAAGTGAGTCGAACTGCTACAGATTGAACGCCGGAATAACACGAAACACACCAAGTAACACGAAAACACCCGAGGACCTCCGATCTATTTTGGTATCAGTCCCTTGAATGAAAGATATTGCTCATATTAGCCGGCCATAATTGATTTAGCGCCTTACATAACTCTAAAAAATAAAATAATATTTCGGGAGCACTCCACAGGATTGACACTAAATAGCAAAGAAATATTTTTTGAAGAAGCACTTTTCATTAAAAATGGTGTAAAAACAAATAAAGAAAAATAAAGGGCCATAAAGGTCGAAACTGTAACAATTTATTACATGTTATCATTTAGGTCTGGAGATAGCTTTGTGTGGAGTGGATAAATAGTTCTCGTTTTTAAGTAAATGCGCAGAGCCATCTTGAGTGGTTGGTACTTTTATCTAATCGTCATCTGCGTCGAATCGCTGGAGGAGCTCTCGTGAGACAGTCCATATAAATAAAGCAAGTCATCTCGTGCCAGCTGATCGGTGCATCTCGACTCTGAACACCAGGTGATTATTGCCAGTTTGATCATGGGAACGATTATGTCATTCTGCTGGCGAATTCTCTCCAGATTTCCATTCTCAAGAGGAAAACCATCACTCACCCAGAAAGAACAACAGGATAGCTGCTCAAAACTGACGGTAAATTGTTTTTTGGGGTGCAACTTCAGTATGATAAGTGACTAAACCTTCCGTCTGTATGGAATATTCAGTCGAAAATTTGTAATTTTTTTCACAGTGACATAAATCAGTTATCCCGCGGTCGAAGTATTTTCGAGACTGCAATCAGACTTTTAGAAGAAAATCGTTTAACCTTGACTAAGCATACGTTTTGAGATTGATCAGGCAAAACTGTATTTAGTACCAAACGTAATTGTTTAGAAATATATCAAAAAGAAAATTTGATTCCAATTTGATTTTTTGTCACAGCTTTGTGGTAAAAACTTTCAAATCATTTTCCTTCTCCTAAATAATAATTATGCAAGTGAAAGAAAGCAAACAAATTGGAGCAAATTCTCGAATAAACACGAGAAGCTTAGAATGTCTTCCAAAATTCGTGCGTGCTTCGGCGTGATGCATCCAAAAATAGGTATCAATTCCATCTTTGATTTTCTATCATTGCGTAAATCTTTAATTCCACTCAGAATTTTATGACGCCTAAACGAAGATAATTGTCGTATTACCATTAACGCACCACCAATCAAATCTCTTACCTTAATTGGCCCACTGGGGAATACCATTAAATCCTCACGTTTGGTTTCAGTTTAAGGATTTGAATTTTAATAGAGTCAGAATAAGTCGAGGATGCATAGCGATATTGTATGAGTGAACAAGCGCAATGGTTTTCGCGTAACATATAGCGTATGTTTCTCAGACTCATTTCCACAGAGCACATAACAGTTCAAAGGAAAATTGAAACGCACACCTGCGCATTCGTTTGAAGAAAATGATCCATCACTCGGAAGAATTTGACTTCTCACTGATGAAACTGTTAGGTGCCTGTTGCTAGTTTTTTTGTTTTTGTTTTTCGTTTTGTAATAAATCAACTGACCTGTGGTTTTCTGAATAAATAATGAGAGATGAAGGAAGTTTTCATTAATTTTCACAGTTTGACTAGCAAAAGAGTACGTTAAAATCTTTGAGAGAAGAATTTCCTTTATATAATATTTGATTCCATAAAGGATAATTGAGGCAGAACTGAACCGACACAAAATCGTAGATTCTTTTGATTACTATAAGACCCGATTTAGCTCAATATTTCTGCCACTGATCACTATAGGGCTTACCAAATTCAAAATATTTTAAGAATTCATTTAGGAATAGCATAATAAACACATCTTAATCCAAAAAGAAAATTCATTGCGAAGTGCAGGCGTCGAAGAATTATGACTTCGATAGTAACCAGGAGTCATTTTGTTGTGTACTTGAACAATAGGGCAATCTACTCTCGAAGTGTGTTTTGCCATGAACTCGGGTGTAAAAGAAAAAAATGGATATAACATCGGTACTAAAATAAAAAGTGAGAAGAACATTTCTGCTACGGTTCCTAGAAGTGCTCCAAACTGCGACGGTGTTTTGACTAGACAAAGAAAACTTGTCCACTTTATTTGTAGCGATAGTCGCTAGTTTGGCGACTATTGTGTGACGGTCATGTGTCAAGTCGTATAAAGTTTTCGTACCATAGTTTTCATGGTCTGAAGTCTTAGTGAGTTACACATTTTCATACATTGAAGATTTTGAATAAAGCTGGGCTTGGAACACTGCCTAACTCGTTCTCCATTTAAGTTTGTCAGACATGGTGGGAATAAGAGACGCTGCGACCCGCTTGAGTCAGTGCGCGTGCGCCGGACTAACGTTCGAGAATCTTAGGAGTCATTAGACCTTTCGGAATAAAGGGTTAGCTGTTTCTGAAACATATTTTCCTCTTAATCAGGACGTATTAAGGAACGGTTCCAGATGCTGTGCTGATGTGAAGTGTGCAAGCTTGGCGCGGACAGCGAGGGAGCTTTTATCAAAAATGGAACAGATTCAAACACAGCTGCATAACGAAGTCGTGTTGTGGAAACTAAGGTACATACGGGGGATATGCACGACAGAGAGTCGACAAAACTTCTACGAACTTCTTGGAAAGTTTAACTCCTTTCACGAAATGCTTGACGCGATCATTGAAAATGAAAAGAAGTATATAGAAGCCATGGAACCGGAACAAAAAGGAGAAGAAGAAGAAGGAGGACATAAAAGCGAAACCATAGACGCGGAGCCATCTGTAGTGTTAATCGAAAAATCAGGCACCGAAAAAAAGGCTTTGCGGAGAAGAATTAAGTTCTTCACAAAAGTTCATGAGCGCAACGTTAAACTGCTATTTCTTGTTGTGAACGAAGTAGCAGAGTGCAGGTCGATGGTGGATACTTCATGCATCAACGGTCAAGAACTGTCGGATAGCTTCGCGTCAGAAATAACAGAAACTGGTAGATTTTTGAGCGTGCTAGAGGAATCGCATGACGAAGAATTAATTGAAGCTTCGTCAAAAAGGCTTGGTTCCAACAAGCCTGAATGCACGATTCAGAGGGTAGATCCAACGCAAAATTTGACGACTTGAATTAGTTGGTTCTCTGAACATCATTTTAAATTGTTGTATCCCACAGTTACTAGGCATGCTGTGATTGGTCAATTGAACGGGCTGTGATTAAATCAAAGCAGTTAATGTTGGCAAAATCTCAAATTTGGCGGGCTGATGAATGTTTGGATCTTTTATTGTCCTAAAATAATGTGTTTAAAGGAACCAATGACCGAACAACAATACCGAGCAGACTTATTATATTTTCTTTGTGCGTCAAGTTGTTCGATGCGAATGGAAGTCGTTTCACGAACCCGTCGGAGATAAAACAATTATTTAACCCAATCATAATTATCATATTTGTCGCAATATCCTAATTAGCATATATCATGATTATCTAACCAACTTGTATTTCCCAATCCGCACAGTTTGAAACGGATCCTGGTTTTTCCCCCAACAGGAATAGTAAGGTTTATATTCGCTCCGACGAAGAGCTTAGGTTCGAAAAATCAGCTTTAAAAACTCTTCACGTTGGCCAATTTACATTATCTTGATTATACACCCCACCGACGCAGCACCACAGTTTTTTTTTTCTAAAAGAAACCAACCCCCACCCCCATGGGATCGGTATGCTACCCCTATAAAGATATTGAAATGACTGCAAACCTATCCGTGTAAAACATACTTTGATGGAGTAAGCAGGAACAAAGTAAAAACGAAAAAAGAGAAAAAATAAGGTGGAGAAGTTGCTTTCATTTGATTCTAAACTTTAAAGTTACTTACCTATATGTAGGGTTCACCATCTGCATGTTTACTCGTGACAAAAATATCGCCAGCATGGACAATCTGAAGAATGGAAAGGAATATATGATTTTCTATCGAGAAACGAAGAGTAAAGTATCGACTAAATAGATTCAACCGAGCACAAAATAGAAGGCCTTGAGAAGATTTCGCCCATCTCCCCCTTATATCGCATATAACTTAGCCATTCAAGGGCCTAACGAAATCACCACAGTCGATAAAGAGTCTCGTAGGCAATTTTGAAATTGCAAGGCAAGCATTGCGGCATTTTAAAGCACGGTGCACCCTGGGTGAGTCATAGCCGTGAAACCTAGACAGAAAATTTGAATAAAAGTGATTCAAAAAGGATTTTTTTTCTGCAAGAAATACAACTTAAACATGATTATTTGGTCGGTCTTTCAAATCTTATAAATTCATAACTGCAGTGACAATGAATGAAGTCTCTGTCTCTTTGCCGGATGGCACGACATTTGTTTTCTACAGTGCCACGTGAAGAATTCTAAATTCAGCGACCTCAATAATCCTTAACACGAACATTATAGCAACTGTTCACCATCGCCAGAAGAATCATTAACATTTCAAAATTGACTTGTCTCTCGTTACCTTTCGCTCCGATGAGATTTTTTTGGCCTGTTCATCCATATCACCAACAAATAATCCTCACCTTTCAAGCAAAATTCTTGTTAAATACAAACTGTAAAGGCTAGAAGCTGTTCTGCATTGAAACAATGCAATTAACTGTATCTCTCGGGATGAGGTCAATGTAGAGTTGTTTCGTAGGTGTAGCACAACTAGAAGGCTGTTTGAACACGCCGCCATTTCTACGAAATGTCTGCTGGGAACTTTAAAGTGATTTCCGCTGACTGAAAAGGAAATGACTCTCGAATTTTCAACCAGTGGTTCCTTGAGAACGAGGTTGAACATTGTAAAAGTGATCGTGAGGGTACGTACTTGTGTCACTCAGAGTGATCTTGTTGTAAAGGTTACTGTGATATTTTCGTTTCAAAGATGGGGAATCGAGGTATGGAAGACCTTATTCCCGTAATGAACAAAATCCAAGATGCGTTCGCTCACATTGGGCAGCCATCGAACGTAGATTTACCGCAGATCGCCGTCGTCGGAAGTCAAAGTGCCGGCAAGAGTAGTGTGTTAGAAAACTTTGTGGGCAGGTAGGGCATTTATTTTATGGTATAATTGAGTTCTTTTCGGTATCATCTGTCTTGAAAATAAATACATCGTCATGTAGGGACTTTCTTCCGAGAGGATCTGGAATTGTCACAAGAAGACCGCTGATACTGCAACTTCATCCGGCCAAGACAGGTTTGTTTTTTTGAAATTAGCTTCAAAATGGCGAATGGGAATTTAGCTAGCTTTCCGGGACACGTTGAACTTCAAGTCACTGAGTACGGCTGTTTTAATGGGGTGTGACAAAGCCTGTTTATCAATGCATTGATGTACGTTTAAACTTACTCTACTTGTACAAACATGCAATTCTACGGTCAACGTATTTTACTTCACTTCCACAATTGTACATTATATTTTTGCGAATAGACATCTGTTCAACAAGATTACGTTACAGGCTATAAATAAAGCTGACCTATTTTTGCTTCTTTTTTTTTTCGATTTGAGTTACTTATGATAGGACACTAGAAATTGTGACATAAAGTTTAAAATACAATTTGTTACAACGTCCGTGATTCTTATAGCGTTGGCAGGGATAAGTACAGAAAGAGATACAATCCCTCTTGTGCAAATTTTACGAATTTTCAGTTACATGTCAGAGACTGACTTGCTACTATAATAGTCACTTCATTGTTTGTGACTAATGCAATTTTGTCTCGTGGGATATCATTAATGTACATTTATGTAAAAATTGTACACATTTTGGAAAATGGTTAGAGAAAATGTAAGACAAACATCAGTATCAATAGTAATGTAATTAACCCTTGAACTCCCTTGAGTGACCAAGACAGAATTTCTCCTTACAATATCAATACAATATCAAGCAGACAAGTGATGAGAATATAGAAAAATATCAGTTAGGGAATTATAAGTTGATTCAATACCAACTTCTCCAAACTAACATCACAAGAACTGTATGGGAGAAGTAAAGAGAATTAGAATTACTTTGTAAGAGATCTTGGGAGTTAAAGGGTTAAAAGAAATTATATTCATAAATGTGTGAATAAACTAGATTTATGTTATGTTGGCACGTGCACATTTTTGTGGTCTGTGTTTTTTCACTGTAGAGTGGGCAGAATTTCTCCATTGCAAGGGAAAGAAATTTGTTGATTTTGAAGAAGTGAGAAAAGAGATTGTTGCAGAGACTGACCGAGAAACTGGCAGCAACAAAGGAATCTCATCAATACCAATTAACCTACGAGTTTATTCTCCTCATGGTATGCAACTTTCTTGTTAAGGATTTGTTTTAACTAATTGCAAACCAATAACGAATGTAGATAACAAACATATTTTTGATTGTGTGGTCTGATTGTCCGGGAGAAGTTTGTGCAAACTGATTGGTCCATTCAGCCATGATGTTACTGTTTACAAGAGTCATTTGTGGTGTAAATGTAGTGTACAAGAGGTTTGTATGGTGCCAAAAGTTGTTGGCATCTGTTGAGGGGAGTCTGTCCTACAAGTTAGAGAACCATGCAGCTTTCCAGAATCGGTTGTTGAAAATAGTTAGTGTTGTAGGTTACGCATTGTGCAGAATCCCAGTCAATAGCATGGCTGGTAATTTGATGAAGTATAGTTATGCAACTTTTGTACACAAATTTAATTCACAAGAAAATAATTATATGTTATGTCAAGTACAGGATTTTTCTTAAGTTTTCCAATAAATGTTTATTGAGTAACTTGTCACTTAGTGTCTCAGAACCTCTACAAATGTTTTATCTCTAATGTCTCATCCTACTAGTATAACATCAAAATTGCTTTAATTCAAATTCTTGAAGACCCTGGTTCTTTCTTCCAAACCTTTATCTAAAGAACTCTACCTTGTGTTTTTGCAGTATTGAATTTGACGCTAGTAGATCTTCCTGGTATGACAAAAGTTCCTGTAGGTGACCAGCCTCCAGATATCGAAATGCAGATTAGAAGTATGTTGTTTCAGTTCATCACCAAACCAAACTGCTTGGTGCTAGCAGTGTCTCCTGCAAACTCAGATCTGGCAAACTCTGATGCATTAAAGATTGCAAAAGAGGTTGATCCTGAGGGTAAGATTGGCATCTTTCTTGCAGCCAATTATTTTATTGGAATGTATATCATTTGTGCCATTTTCAGAAAGTGTTTGGTTGAAGAGAGATACAGCAAAATTTAAATTTTTTTTAAAATTTTTTCCTTTTACCCCAACTGTTTCACTCCCAAGATCTCATTGGTAATTCCCCTAATTGATTATTTTTTTTGTACTCATCACTTATCTGCTTGATATTGTATTGATATTGTACTTGGAGAAATTCTGTTTTGGTCACTTTTGAGTGGAAGGTTAATTTTTACTGATTTGAAACTCTTGTTGATAATATCCTGGTTATTCTTCACAAACAACAAAGGGTCAATGGTAAATCTGGAAACTGTAAAAATTACAGTAATCATATATTGATTGTGTGCAGCTTGTGGATGTCCTTCTTGATTTTTTATTCCAGGAGTGCGAACAATTGGAGTGATAACAAAGTTAGATCTCATGGATGAAGGAACAGATGCCAGAGAAATTCTTGAGAACAGAGTCCTCCCCTTAAGAAGAGGTACTGTCTGATACACATTGCAATGAAATGATATACATTGCAATTAAATTTTTGTGCAAATCTCTAGACTTTTTTTTGGTGTCCTTTTCAGGTTATATTGGAGTGGTAAACAGAAGCCAGGCAGACATTGATGGTAGAAAAGACATTAAATCAGCCCTCGCCTCTGAGCGAAAATTTTTTCTTAGTCATGCATCCTACAGGTAAGTACAGACATGTATCATGAGCACAGATTTATTTTGTCTAACAAGCTGGAGACTGCTGAATAGGTAGGAGCAGCCCAAAGGGTGATTAGGGCATCCCCTTTCTACTTGAGGTCTGGTAGTCCCAGAATTTTCAAGCCCTTCACCTTACTGCCTACTGCGTCTAAGTTTTTCTTAGTTCGCAGCCCCCCCTAGGTTTAATTCCTGGTCTTATCTCCTTTGCTACTCTCTGTTTGCCTCTCTACTGTGGGGAATTTTGATCAGTTTATGTTTCTTTGGAATATTTGTTTCATTCTGTGTTCAAATTTGCCTTGAAAGACCTCACCAAGGGAGTTTTTATATAAATAATGACAGTGATTATTATTGTTTTGAAATATCTTGGGCACTTCTGAATGACAGCTCCTAATTTTATACTTCCTGTAATCTTTTCAGGCATATTGCAGACAAAATGGGAACAGGTTATTTACAAAAAGTTCTTAACCAGGTGATTTCTGTTTCCTTGGTTTTTTATACCTCTACTGGTACATAAATCCCAATCAAGATTTTACTTACATGAAAACATTGTTTGTGAGGATTTGATATTTATGACATTAAATTAAAGTCCACTGATAATAATATGTATTTAACTGAAATCAATTAGTGTGGTTCCAATACATGTATTATTTTGACATGATTGATATTGATTTCTGTGGACCTGAAACATTTTGCCCCAGTCAATTTTTAACAATGATTGTTTTCATAGCAACTGACCAATCACATTAGAGAAACTTTACCAGCCCTTCGAAGCAAGCTTGAAGAGAACATTATGGCACTTGAAAAGGAAGTCAAGGGCTTTGAACATTATAATCCAGATGATCCATCTATGAAGACGAAAGCCCTCATGCAGTCAGTATCCAACCACTCTGTGCACGTCTTAAAATTAGTTTTGTGCATTTGTTCAAATGTATATGATATGTAAGACAGCCTTAACCCTTTAACTCCCAAGATCTCATCAGCAATTCTCCTTACTGTCTGCCATATAGTTCTTGTGATGTTAGTTTGGAGAATTGGCATGGCATCAACTAATAACCCCCTAATTTATATTTTTCTTTTTTCTCATCACCTGTCTGCCTAATAGTGTATTGATATTGTAAGGAGAAATTCTGTCTTAGTCACTCATTGGAGTTAAAGGGCTTATTGGTTATGTCCTACTTTCCCATAGTGTGCATTTCACTTTGGAATCATGGTATGGAGAAACACTTTGAAACCAATCATAGTTGCAAATATTGTACTCTTTCAAAACAATGTTTAATAACAACATTGATGTCTTAGGAGGTAGAAGATTGGAGCACACCACAAATTGGTAACACAAGGTATCACTGATTCAGAAGAAAAACCAGCATTTTCATTAAAACTGAAGTAGCATACAAATTATTTGCACTTTCCTTATAATGGCTGGTATTCCTTTTTTTATAGCTTAATAAACACTGATTTTGGATGTCTGTATTAAGTACACTCATAAAATTATGATCATCATTAACCAGAATGGTGGCTTATTTTTCACTCCTGAGACTTGATACAAGATAAGTTTGTTTGACAGTGTTTTTAATCAACACCTTTTCTTTTTCATTAGAATGTGGTCTGCACATAAACATTATTTGAAGTCAGTGTTTATTATTTTTCAAGAAAATGTATTCTTTAATAGGAAGGAAAATAGAATATTCCCTTGCATCTCCATTGCAAACCCAAGAAGATGAGTCAGTGCTTATCAGAATTAGTTCTTTACTCTGAAATATAGTACATCTACTTTTGGCAATTTTAACTTCTTGACTCAGGCCTTTTCTTTTTCTTTTTTTGGCTGTTAATTCTTATTTAACAGGATGATACAGCAATTCAGTGGAGATTTTGAGAAAGCCATTGAAGGGTCTGGTGATTCAATTGATACCAAAGAACTCTCAGGTGGAGCAAAAATCAACAGGATATTTCATGAGAGGTTCCCATATGAGTTAGTTAAGGTAAATATGATAACTGCTCCAAGTGCTCATTACCCCAAAACAACTCCTTTTTTCAACTCTTTCATGAAGACTGTGATTTCTCAATGTTTGGGGAAATGTGACAGAAATTCACTTCTTCTGTGCAGTGCAATATTTTTGTTGTAAACAAAATATGCAAATCAAGATCCTAGACAAAGAACATAAACTTTGCAGGAGAATAATAGATTGTTACACCTTTCGTTATTGGATACCAGCTACTCTAAAACACTTTGTCAGTTGTATTGCATTCTTTTTAGAATTTCTATTTTTCTTTTAACAAATTAAGCTTAGATGATTTCTCTAAGTAAATAGCAATGAAATGACAAAATTTTGAAATTTTTGACCAGATTTTGTCGATAGTAGCCTTAAGTTGCCCTCTAGCCTAAAACTGGAGAAGTGATTTGCTTGAGTGAATGCACTTATAACTGGATTGATTTGTGATGGAATCTTTTCTATTACAGGTAATTTAGTGTTAACAACTGAGTTGAAAACATAAATTGACCACTGTAAAGAGTATAAAAGCTGACATTCAAGCATTAGCCCTTTGTCAGAGCAATTGACGAAGGGCTAATGCTCGAAATGTCAACTTTTTTACTCTTTACGGTAGTCAATTTATGTTTCAACTCAGTTGTTAACATTAAATTATCTGCTATACTCTCCCACTGATGCAGCACCACAGTTTCTTTAGAAACTTACCCCCTTTTCTATTACACTTTAGGTGGAATTTGATGAGAAACAGCTCAGAAAGGAAATTATGTTTGCCATCAAGAACATCCATGGAATCAGGTAAATGTGCAGTTTTTAGTTTGTTGGTCACTTTTCTTATTTTGCAGACCTAACTAGACTTTGCTCAGTCCTATTACCATTACTGAGGTTGGTTTTTCATGATAGGGTTGGTCTTTTCACTCCTGATATGGCCTTTGAAGCAATAGTAAAGCGGCAAATTGACAAACTGAGGAGTCCAGCGGTGAAGTGTGTGGATATGGTTATGTCTGAATTAACCAATGTCATCAAGAAATGTACAGATCCGGTAAAATGGAATTGTAAATTACAACAATCATTTTGAGACCTAAGATCAATGTCAGTAACTGAGCAACTACACACCCACTCCTCCCCCAACCCAACAAGAGTCAACTAACAAAAAGTTAGAGGGTTAGGGGAGGGGGAGGGGAGCAGTTGTTGAGATACTGACATTGGTCTGAAACTTGCACTCTCTTTCAAGTCCATTGCTTATTAAAATTAGGCCAGAAATCAATTTGATGAGTAAGTAAATAATGGAAGTTATAAATCTCAGGTCTGCAGAGGATTTCTGTCAGCTAGCTAAAATTAATTCCAAGTCAAACTGTCAGCATTCAGTTGGGACTTGAGTCTTGAAATAAAGATGGATTTTTCCCTGAATGAATGAATCAAAGGAAAAAAGAGGAACCATATTACCAATGACTACCTAGGTAGGTCAAAAAACAGAATAGAATCCTTGATTGGAATACTTAGGATATACAGTTGTTAAAATACAGTTTGAAAAGTGTGCATGTCATAAAATATTTAAGATAAGGTATGTGTGGGTGCACTTTCAATTGATGTTGGCTAATTCAAGCAACCCTCATGCAGGGGTCTATACTATCATAATCTTCAAGGTAACATTTTAATGTGATATCTAAGTGGATTTATTTAATTTGCAGATAGACAAATACCCTTTACTGAGGGACCAGGTGGAGAAAATTGTTGTAGAACATGGAAGAAAGGGAGAGGCCAAATCTAAAGACCAGGTACAATGACAATGAGATTGATTTGTGTACTTTTAATCGAGCTCATCTTGGTTTCCTCAACATGAAGTGACTGGAAGTGTTACTTCCTCCCCTCCCCCTACCTGAATGTTATGCCAGTCCATCACAAGGTTGTCCCCCTAGCATTTTATCAAGTATCCTGACACATTTCTAGTATCCATATATACTCCTGGTTGGAGATAGACACTGTGAGTGCAAATTGCTTTACCCAAGAACACAACACAATGACTAGGCCAAGTCTTGAACCAGGTTCTCTCAACCTGGAGACCAGAACAGTAACCATTTGGTCACTTAGTCTCCAACCAAGATGTGCAAGGACTACTGTAAAATTTTGGTAGTGTTGTTTGTCATGAAATTCTTTGGAACACATTCCTAACACTACAACATCTCACAAGATTTATTGTCATGTTGTATTCCTGTGAATTTTTCAGTATTCACACATCGAGTACATGCTTGTAAATGTTAAGAGTATATGGAACACAATGTCATCAGGTTATATGCTTTTGGTAACATGCATTTCATGTACTGGTGCTAATTTCATAAAAGTCATGTAATTCACGTTTAATTTTATCCACAGGTCAAAACATTTATTGATATGGAGCTTGCATACATTAACACAAATCATCCTGATTTTATTGGTTATGCAGCGTAAGTTAAAGTGTTTTCACTGAAAGTGATTCTTCAAAAATATATTTTGACACGAGATTTTAACTCAAACTCTCCCTGAATGCTCCTTATTTAATATGCAGTACAAGATTACAGGGTTAATTTTTTTGCATTTTCTTTACAGAGCATCAAGTACATCCAATCCTGGTGAAAAAAAAACAAAAAGAACTATCTCCAATCAGGTGTGTTTGTCATTTTGGTTGAATTGTCCCTCAACTCTTTGACTCCCAAGATCTGAATGTAAATTCTCTTCTCTAGCTGCCACACATTTCTTTGTAAATTAGTTAAGAGAATTTGGAGATAGATCAAGATAACAACTTCTGCCTGATAAGTTTGAGTATTCTCATGACCGCTTGCTGAATAATTTATGGATATTATAGGGAGAAGTTACATCTCAATTACCTGTAGGAGTTGAGGGTTAAGGTTGTAAAGTTCCTTAGCTGGAAGTGAATCGTGTCACTTACTACATTCTTTTGCTAACTTACCTTGTGATGGTGCATATCTGCAAGAGTACTTTCTGTTATGGGGTTAAGCATTTTCTTTTACATTTTTGACTCAAAGAGTGACTAGCATTCAATTTCTCTTTTCAATGTTACCCCTGAATCACACATTCAGGTTGCAGAATAACAGAAATGATCACCATGGATTGTTAAACAAATTCTCCTTGAAATAAACTAAGAAAAGGATAGAAGACAGTTTGGAGAAGATTCATGCTGATGTTGGGGTGTAAATGGATAATGAACTCAGGAGTATAGTTAATTGCCAGGAAAATCTGACAGAAATGGGGTAGTCTTCAAGGGATGATTACACTTTCTAAGTTAAGTCCTGGAGCCCAGTGGCCCATCTTAATCAATGTTTATCTTCAGTTTCTCTACCTCAAAATAAGAGGAGTACAGAGAAGTATATAGATCAGCAGTGTGTTCAATCATAGCATTTTGGCTTCTAATTTGGCGTCTGCACTTTTTTTCTCCTCTCAGGTGATTAGGAAAGGTTGGCTCACAATAAGCAATACAGGATTTATGAAGGGAATCAGCAAAGAGTACTGGTTTGTACTTACAGGTAAATTGCATAAGTTAAAGTGTGTGTGGATATCCAGGCTCTTAAATCCTTATGACTGTCTGCTACTGTCATGCTTCCATTTTATCTGCTGATAACACCTTGGTAAGTTATCACACCCAGTGGAGTCCAATTTGGTCTGTAATCAGGCAAGTGAATACAAAATGGAAGGACAGTGAACCAGGAGTCTGATTTGTCAATCACAATTTTGATTAAAGATTGTTAAAATTCTGTTACCAATTAATCCTAGCCATTATGATTTCTGAAAAACCATAAACATAATTATTACCATAATTAGAAAAATCCTCCATTTTGGAAATTCCACAATTTGTAGGGTATGTGGTTGTAGCCATGGTTATTATAATCAATTCTGTGATTTGTGGATTTGGCTGAGTGGACTTAGTGTGGTTGGCTAATTTAAATGTCCAAACACGGATATCCGCTTACAGCCTATACAACTCTACAGAATAATTAGTGAAAAATAAAACAGCAAATGGACCAATCACATTTGAGGACATTGTAATGGTTATGACTAGCTGCCTAAGTAGTGATAACGTCACGGTATTTATCATTATGTATTCTTTCAGCTGAATCGCTTTCATGGTACAAGGACGAGGAGGTATGTTGAACTTGATTCAGCCCTTTGACACCTAAAAGTGACTAACATTAAAATTCTCCTTCCAAGATCAGTGCTGAATCAGTTTTAAGGTCACAGGAATATAGGAAGTTATCACCAGCTATTGATAAGCCGTTGATTGTTAAACAAATTCTCCTTGTCAGCACCTTAGGAAATGTTTAGAGAACAGTACGGAGAATATGCATACTGATGTTGGAATGTAAAGGGTTAAAACACTAAGTCATTAGTCTGAAAGGTTGATTTCAAAACAAAGATCAACAGAGGTAGACATCATTCTCCTCAGTGGCGAGGAAGTCGCCATGGCAACCAAGCCACAACCCATCCTGAAGCACTTATCAACACAAAACCAACAAAGTGATATGTAGAGAATATACATTTGCTCACTTAGTTGGTGGGCGGAAGGGAAGGAAACCATTAGGGTGGAATGAAATTGAGCGAAAGCAGAAGAAATACCTCTGCAAAACTCTGTAGAACGCCCCGCATCCCAATGGTGATACTGGCGCGTTTCCTTGGTTTCATTTGGATAGAATACATTTAGTTTCATAATAATATTAAGGAAAACTATGCCACTCAGAAACTATCAACTCTTTCCAAAACATCCGCACGTTGTTGCCTCCTATCTTAACCTAGTTCTTGCGTATTGCGGTAAAATCGTCCAGAGCTGGACGATTATTGCAAGGCAATCAGAGCGCGTGTATCTCTATAATCAACTGAACCACCATACCCACTCTGCCTGCAATCCGTTTGATTATTAGGAGAAGGAACAGAAATATCAATTAAGATTGGATAATGTGCGCCTGCGTGATGCTGAGGCAGGATTCATGTCCCGAAAAGCTGCCTTTGCTATCTTCAATCCTGATCAAAAGTAAGTCGATTTTTTTCCTTTTGTTTTCATGTTGGACACCACTGATTTTTCACCTTTCTTTGTTGTACTCTTAGTGCGTTTGGGAGTCTGAAACTTCAAGAGAAACAGGAACGTTGAGTACGGTTTGCGCGATATCTTCAGTTTATGTGCAGTGTTCGTTTGTCACAGAAGAAATTTTTGGTGCGCATGAGTAAATGTCGTTTCGTTATTATGCATCATCATAATACTGCTGTAGTTGGGTGTAACGCATCTCCTAAAATAAAATGCTTTTGGTGATGTTTTACCTGGCGACAAAGCTCAAAGCTTCTCTATAATTTACGAAGGACAGTGGCTTCGTGTGTTGCGAGTAACTATTTTATGGTTTTTTTTTTAAGAAACTTATTTAAAGACCACAAAGCGTTGGAGCTTGCAGGAGAGAACCAGGACGTTATAGACAGTTGGAAAGCCTCGTTCCTTCGAGCCGGAGTGTACCCTGAGAGAGACACATCGGAGGATAAGAGCTTGGTAAGGACCGCATGAAAATAAGAAAGAAAAGAAAGTGCTATTGCTTTATTGAAGACCCTCTGAATTATCTTGATTGATGGAGAGGTTGACGCAAGTTTTATTGACCAATGGCGCGCGCGCATTGAGGCAAAACTCAGGTGACTCTCGATACTTCACTGAAAATTGCCTTGCCTGCTTTCATTCGGTTTTTTCTCATTTTATAGCAAGGTGAGATAGGCACCTTAGATCCTCAGATGGAACGTCAAGTGGAAACCATCAGAAACTTGGCGGATTCCTACATCAAGATCGTCAGCAAAACTGTCCGGGACCTCGTCCCTAAAACTGTGATGTTCTTCATTATAAATAATGTAAGCTCACGCTGCTGTGGTCGTTACTCTATTTAGAAGGTGCTTTAGTCACTTTTAGCGCTGCAAACTTATGTAGTGATTGCTCTGGTAAATTTTTCCAGCACATCTCATTTGCAATAGTATGTTGTTGCAACAGGCGAGCTGGTTTCCAAACCTGCACAGCTTAAAGACATCCCTGAGACTCAGGTAGAAGGAACAATGGCCGGTAAACACCGCGACCGCGTGGTGTTTACGGCAAACCTAGTCGTGTGTATTGTTTCCAGAACAAATCGTTACGACTTATTTTATACTTATGAACATTTGGCAGATCAGTGGAAGCATTTTTTTACTCGACTTTGCGCCAGCTTTATTTCATGCGGTCATACTCATTAGCTGAAGTTTTCTGTACGTCTAAACAGACGAATGTCGAGACAGTCATTAGCTGAAGTTTTCTGTACGTCTAAACAGACGAATGTCGAGACAGTCAATAATATTATGCATTTTTTTCTAACACACGTTAGGTGAAGGAATTCATTGGTCAGGAGCTGTTAGCCCATTTATACTCGGGTGGGAATCAGGTAAGAAAAAAAAAATCAAACGAGAGATGTGATCTTGATATTACATGTATCGCTCATACTGATGACTGTCCACGCACGCCGCACAAGCTTGAATAAGCAACATTGGAACAATGGTAATATCTCAGCAACTGTGCACCTACTCCTCCCCTAACACAACAACAGTCACCTAATAACAAGTTAGGGTTAATGTTGGGTTATTAAGGGAGAGGTAGGTGCATAGTTTCTCAGGTACTGAAATTGATCCGCAACATTTTGCCTACTTTGAGCGGAGTAACGTGTTATAAAAGAGAAGGAAAATAAACTATAATTTTTAAAAATTTATTTAAAAACGCAATCAGATTCTACCAGGGTCGGGACTCTACTCTAAACGAAACAAAAAGATAACGAAAAAAAAAAACAGAGAGGATCTACTTTGACGTCTCATTTCTTAAATCCTTGAATCAGGGATGAGATCCATTTCAGGGGGCCTTCTCACATTTACCTTACATTTAAGCGACCTCTTCCCTTTCCCCCTTCCCCCACCCCCCTGCTCACGGAAAAATGCGATGTGTTTATTCTCCTTGATTTAGAATGACTTGATGAAAGAAAGCGAAGCTGAAGTCGTTCGTCGGGAGGAAATGCTGCGCATGTTCCACAGTTTGAAGGAAGCTCTACGGATTATTAGCGATATAGACGCGAATACCGTGACCACATCGCTGCCACCTCCTGTCGACACAGGGGACCGTGACTTACTCGATTCATACAAGCCTCCCGGGTATTAAGTTTTTACACTCTAACATCAGTATGCACATTCTCCATACTATTTTCTATACACTTGCTGAGGTGCTATCAAGAGGAATTTGTTTAACAATCAAGAGCTTCTTTAGTTGGTGATCATTTCCTTTATTCTCGTGACCTTAATGTTTGATTGAGGGGTGATATTATAAGGAGAAAGTCGATGTTAGTCAGTCTAAGGGGTCTAAGGGTTGAGGATGACGTCTTTGCAACGCTGAAGTTAGCCTTATCCGACTTTAACGATGCTAGTCCAGATTATACAGCGACTCGTTTGAAATTGTCTTATTTGTCGTACGAGAGAACTAGCAGCAAGATTCTTTTTGTGGACGAGGCTGTGGGAAATTTGGATAAGGCTTAGAGGACTGTAGATTAAATTGGAGGCCACCAAATTTCTCTGTTTTGAAACCAAGAATTTGCGAATCAAACAAGTGAAGCAGCGGCGAAACGAAAGAAGGACAATCCAACTGATTGGATGAAAACCTACTACGTTAGGGACCTTAGTTAACCACAAGACGTTGCGCGCGTAGACCGCCATTTTCAATGTCATCTAAATTCGAAAAAAACAAATTGAATGTGGTCCATCATCCAAGCGCATACAAAGGATTTAAGGAAGTGAATATATGAATCTAGTAATGGCCAAGCTCAACGTAGAATCTCTGTGGCTTTGTGGAACGAGAGCCTAGGAGCCAGTTTAGATTCCTTCTTGGTACTTAGAACTTTCCTTGTCCCACGCTCAAGACAAGACGTGAGAAAATCCTTCTCCAACGTTAAGGGATATTATGGAGCACACATCGATGTAACGAACGACAAAAATATTAAATTTACTTTTTCTTACAGAAGCACTAGACAACCTCCTGTTCCTAGGGCAGGTCATCCGAGTCCTACCCCACCGTCTCGACCGTCCCGTCCCGTTCCGGGCGTACCATCCCGACCAGACAGTGCTCCTTCTGTACCCAGGTAATTAAATTTGCTCTTGTCCGCTTCGCATTTAGGAGCTTTGAAACGTAGTTGTGTAACAAAAGCGATGGCTCATTTGGTTATCGCAAGAGAATTCTCTTAGTTATTGTTCTTCGTTTGGACATGAGGCATTTCAGGAATGTAAATGCACCATTTTTTTTATCTAATTTTTCATCACAGGAGACCCAATGCGCCAGGCAAACCGGCTCCTCCACCACCAATACCTGGTCGGCCTCCTGTGCCATCAAGACCTTGAATGTCACGCAACTGCATCAGCATCGAGCCCGCTTGTCATGCAAGATGTATTTTCTCATTCTTCGATTACTATTTTGTGTAAATGTACCTGAAGTTAGGCATAACAAATTTTTTAATTGATCATCGACTTGACGGCAAATTTTTTGGCAAAAACTTTAAGAATATATTTGCAAAAGGAAAAGTTCATTCTTCACAGTACTCCTAAGTACCACCTAGACGACCGTACTTAAATCGTTTCCCACTACTAACACGCGGTGTTTGGTGAAATCGTCCCATTTATAATAATTCCGAAAGGTACGCTGTAGTATGATCAGAGCGACTGGTCAATTGGCTTAGTTTGATTTAGTCAGTATATATAGTTAAATAGGTAGGTTTGTCTAATTACGTTTTTGAAGATGAAGCCCTGAAAGGCTTGATGGATGGAAGGGTGATTTCTTTGGCGGCAGGCTTAAACGAACCAAGGAATGACAGAATAAAAAAATTCGTTTTTTCTTGTACTCGTGGTATGACTGACGTAACTCGATTATTGGCCTTCATAATTTCTCTTTAGATTGGTGTTAGAATCGAGTCAAGCTTGAAATTTACCTTCCTGATACATATACGTTTGTTTAGAATACACACTTAAAAATGGTTTCGAAATTTACGTAGTTATAAATTAAATCGAGAACCATACTTGTAGTTGTAGACATTTGGAAGGTTCACCAACTTTGTACACTCCTAAACATCTGGCAATGTTTGCTCCTTGATCCAACATCATTATTCGTGGTTGGTTTTGTTTTTATAACACTCACTGAGTTGAAAAGTGCTATAAAGCCTTGCTCGATTATCTTCAAGAAGGTGTAGCCGGTTCAGTAACTAACAATATTTAGTAACAGGGAAAGATGGCGAGCTCGAGGCACTTGCCTCGCCTAGCAATGTAATGCGCCTGAAGACTTGCATGTTGTGATTTAATCATGCAACGATTAGTCGTAATTTTTAAGTGCATAGAAAAGTACCCAATAAATTCATATACATGGAGAACTCAACAACTAAGACTTGACTACTCATTTGAAAAAAATTTAATTAACATCCTCGATTTTGAAAGCTTTTCTTTTCTTTTCTTTTCTTTTTTTCTTTTTTTTTTTTTTTTTTTTGGGGGGGGGGAGGGGGTATTAATCAGTATCGAGAGCACATACCTCTAACCAACCGAGTTTGAGTTCCTTACTGTGAGCTACCCACCAGGAAAAATTAGGTTTCGCAACTTGCAGTACGGACCGAGGAAACGAGGTTAGTAAGAAAGTTATTACAAATGGGTTCCAATCTGTCGACCAAGACAAACTTGAATTCAGTGGGACGCAAAGTGATAATACGGCCCGCAAAATTGACTAATCATAGCGCACGAACTAAAGACATACAATAAAGAACAATATTCGACTGGTCATCTATAGTCAATAATTAATACATGGTGCAGTTGTCTACTTTTAACTTCAGTTTGGTTACAGACAAACAAATTTTGACTAACCCCATTCCTGATTTGGCTTCTATCTGCATTACTTCCCCTAGTACATCATTCACCAGTTCTTTTTACAACAACAGAGTGGCCCACTATTTACAATTCTACTAATTATCAAGTCAACTGCCATATGTTTGTACAAATGAAAAAAAAAATTGTGGTCAGTTTGCCCACATACACCATTCATAAAATTAAAATGAATCAGGAGCCCATTATCCTTTTCATAGATTCGTATACATGAATCTCTCCAATCGACTAATTTGATGCTGATGGAAGCGGAATCACATGTAGATCAACCGAGTAACTTAAAATTCATTGGTGTCTTTAATACAAGCCGTAACATCTCAATTCTCTGCCTGCCCTTACTACAGCTGCGCATTTCAACGTAGTGCCCAAACTATTGCAAGCCCTGCTGTCCGTTAGGAGTCTGGATCAGCGACACAGGTACAGCCTGACCCACTGCGGACTGGGGCGAGACGGGAAGCGTGACCACCTGCGGCTGTACAGCACTGAGAATGTGAAACCCGTCTGTGGCAAACAAACTATCAGTGTTCAGCGGCGTTGCTTGCGACGCAGTCAGGTTGCCTTGCAACGCAGCCGTTGTCAAGGTATTGGACGTTGCCATGGTGATAGTTACATTAGGCGGTGTCTCTTGGGATTCAGCTTGCTGCACAAGCTGTTGCTGGGGTTGGGTTGTCTGTTGAGCAACCTGTGGTGCTTGTTGCTGTTGTTGTGGTGGCGGTTGTGTTTGCGGAGCCTGCTGCTGCTGTTGCACCTGTTGTTGTTGCTGTTGCTGTTGCTGAGAGGCCGGTTGTTGCAGAGATTGTGGTTGCAATTGATGGACAACCTACAACAGAACCAGTCAGGTGTTAAAACTAAAAGTCGCCTAGCAAGCTTACGTTCAGCTCACTGATCTCTACTGGTTGATTTGAAGGGTAGCAAACTGAACTTTTATCTGAATTTGAACCCTTTGCAAGGTCACTGTGCTGTGTTCTTGGACAAAGCACCGAAATCTCACAATGCCTCTCTCGACCCTTAAGTTTGAATGGGTACAGCAAACTGTCATGGACATTTCAAGGAATTCTGAGGGGGGAGGGGGAAAGGTACCTTTTTAGCGAAGTCCATCGCACGAGTCAAAAAAATTTGTGAAATGAATAAAGTCAGCGCAAAACAAACATAAAAAATTAAAAGAAGTGACAACCAATGAAGAACCGATAAATTATTATCTTGATCTTACACCAAATTCTCGACACTAATTTGCAAGGAAATGTGTGGACGCTAGAAGGGAGAATTAACAATCAGATCAAGGGAGTAAAAAGGTTCAGCTGGAATAGAAAAGTACTCACGTGTGCTTGGAGTTGCTGTGACGCTTGCTGCTGCAGTTGCTGGGTTTGCTGGAGTTGTTGCTGAAGCTGCTGTTGTTGCTGCTGTAACTGGAGCTGTTGCAGTTGCAGTTGTTGAATCTGCTGTTGGTATTGCAACTGTTGCTGTTGCAGCTGTTGTTGAACTTGTACCTGAACCTGGGGCACTTGTATTGGTTGAGCGGTTTGAATCTAAAATCACAGAGCTCGTTAAAAATAAACGATTTGAAAATGGGGAAGGGAAAAACAGGGACACGATCTTTCAAGTGCTGACTGCAAACTAACCTGTACAGGTGCACCCTGCACTTGGATGGTTCCATTGGTGAATGTGACTGTAGGAAGTAACTGTGTCTGCGCCAGTTGGGAGCTGTTCACAGTGGTCAGTGCCGGAATTCCAGACGACACAGCAGGCTGCATCATGACAGCCGACAGGCCGGCTGAACTGACTGCAGCTTGTAGGATGTTGACTTGAGGCAGTGATTGCTGAATCTGTTGCAATGCCACTTGCTGAACAGTGTCGACCTGAGCCTGCTGCGGAGCTTTCAGCTTGGTTTTCTTGGGTTTAGGGTTTTCCTGCCACCATTTAATGAGACCATGAGAAGGAGGTTCTCTGTCACCACCTGGGAAGAAGAGAAACAAAGAAACCCATGCGATATAAACAACCTACTGTCAAAACCAATCTTCTAATTCTGCTTTAAGCTCCTGTGCAAATGGTGAGTTCCTTAATTTATCCTACGAGTCACTTGTTTCCACGAGTCTAAGCGGTCTCTCCCAATATTCTTGACTTTCGTGAGAAGTAACATGGATTTTGCCCAAATTCTCCCAAAAAAAACCATTTTAGAAAAAGATGTCTTGTCACGAGCGTGGAACAAAGAAAAAGTCTGAATTCCCATCAGGAATCGTACCTTAGAGCTTCGGATTTCGCGCTCCGATGCTCTACCACTCAGTCAAAGAGGTTCTATGGTGAGCAAGGTCTTAACATCTGTTTTATTCTGTTTACAAAACATGACGCTATCGAGATTGCTGATCCTAACAGTATGCAGGAGGCGTGGCGTATATGAACTTCGTAATGGATACCAAGCTTAAAATTTATTATCTTTCTTATTCCATTTACAGCACCATTTGAGTTTGAGTAATTACACGATTTCGATAGCTATTTAGCTTAAATAACCACGAGTAAATTTCAGACTAACAAAATAGCACGAATTAAAAGGGTATTTCGTCTCAAAAATTCACAACTACTTATTTAAGCCAAACTACACGAGAAATCATGTTGTTACAGTATCTATCAATAAAAAAGAAGAAAAGCAGAAAATCAAAACAAACCTGTTTCTTTCATTTGTTCATTAACTCTGCCGATTGTGCTGTGACTACATCCTGTCACCCAGGATATGAACTTGTAACAATTAGAGCGCGCACCTCCAGATGGCGTGAGCATCTCTGCAAGAACTCTCCGTGCTTCTGTCTGCCCTGAGATGGCTCGGTCACGCCACTGCTTTAGCAGATTTGTGTGTGTCATTGCAATCTATGAATTTGAAAGTTGAGAATTCACAATCATTACTATCTACTTACACATTCATTTGTTTATAACCTGTTTGTTTGTATGTATGTATGTATGTATGTATGTATGTATGTATGTATGTATGTATGTATGTATGTATGTATGTATGTATGTATGTATGTATGTATGTATGTATGTATGTATGTATGTATGTATGTATGTATGTATGTATGTATGTATGTATGTATGTATGTATGTATGTATGTATGTATGTATGTATGTATGTATGTATGTATGTATGTATGTATGTATGTATGTATGTATGTATGTATGTATGTATGTATGTATGTATGTATGTATGTATGTATGTATGTATGTATGTATGTATGTATGTATGTATGTATGTATGTATGTATGTATGTATGTATGTATGTATGTATGTATGTATGTATGTATGTATGTATGTATGTATGTATGTATGTATGTATGTATGTATGTATGTATGTATGTATGTATGTATGTATGTATGTATGTATGTATGTATGTATGTATGTATGTATGTATGTATGTATGTATGTATGTAACAACTCTTTCACAGGATTCATACTCTTTCAAAAGCAATGAAAATTCCATAAATTTACGTCATATTATGCAAGACGTTTCCAATGTTTTCCAAAACCAACGATCAAGACATTGTTTACAGAGGGATGTGAAAATAATTTATATATCTAGGATATGGTGCACAGTAGTTAACAGTACATTAAAGAATGCGCACTGACCATAACACAGTTATCCACACAACACTTTTCTTTCGGTAAATCTTCCATGGCCTTCAGTTTACCAAGGGCAGCCTTTCCTTTCTGTCTCACAATACGAAGAGGTTTCTAAGGGTGAGAATAACAAGATCTATAAACCTTTTAATTAGTGCCTCCTCTCCCCTATTCACTCCTTTCAACTGACCTTCCAATAGGCCAAATTCAAAATTGCTCCCCCCCCTCCCCCTAAAGAAGCTCTTCCCCTTCATCTGTTTTCAAAGACAAGAACAAAAATGACAAGTATCATGGACAAGTATCAAAATCACTTTTTGCCTTGCACATTTATACCATAATCATATCTGTTTTGAGCAATCCAGTCTGTTTCCCGAAAAAGATAATTTTATCAAATTAAATATGGACAGGCAATTGACGGCTTCTTAATCTTCAAAGCCATACATATAGTTGGAAATCTGAATCTCAATGTCTACATTTAACCCTTCAACTCCAATGAGTGACCGCAACAGAATTTCTCCTTACAATATCAATACAATACCGAAGAGACAACTGATGAGAATTTAAAAAATACTATTCAGCACATTATTAGTTGATCCAGTACCAAATTCTCTGAACTAACATTGTGAGAATTGTACTGAAAACCATAAGGAGAATTACTAATGAGATCTTGGGAGTGACAAGGTTATTTGAGGCTGTGTATCATGTGACATACATGTAACAGATATGATAAGGTCCCTATTCTGAGCAGCTTGCAGCTGAAGTGGGCTGGACTGGTTGAAGATTGCAGATAACTAAATCAATAAAGTAAATATATAAAGAGTGTCCCATCACATGCATGACTGTGATTGTACATGGAACTTACTGATGGATCAGTTTTGAGCTTTTTGTGCAGGAAGTTATTGGAATACAGCAACACCCGCTGAGTAGCTCTTTCACATAATTTCAAAGTGTCGCGTAAGTGTTTCCTCTTTTCCAGCACATACTCCTCAAATTCAGTACACTTCCTCTGACCATTACCAAGGCCAATGTTTTTAGATCTGAAAAGTTTCAACAGTCACAAAAGTTTCCAACAAGTTCTTCACAAAATATATCAATGTTACAACCAATGCTCTTGGTTACTGCTACTGACACCAGTAGAGACAGCCACTTTGCAAGTATTTACTAGGATCAACAAGAGTTATTTGATTACCTAAATCGTTACCTAACACTGATAATGATGCACTTATAGAGAATTTCCCTAACAATATGCCCTATGCACTTTACAACACAGTGTGGGGGACTTTGACCAGACTGAATTGCACAGTTTAAAACTTTTGAAAGGAAATTTTGAGAGTTCCCCTACAACCTGACTACAATACTGGGAGCTACAATCCCTTACATGTACATGTATCTTTGCGAGAAATGTGTGAGTTCTTTCACTTCCCCTGCTAACCAGTACAGAGAAGGTGCAGGATACAGAGCCTACTATACAGAGCCTATTATTGATTTTTGATAGAAAGTCTAACCATTTGCAGATGTCATAGCTGAGCTCACACATTCTTCTATACAATGTACAGTAGTTGAGTCAATAAGTCAAGCAGATGATACCTCTTCATGGATTTTGCTTGGTTTCTGACTTCTTCAACATCATAGCATTTCTTGTTACTGAGTTCTTTTGCTTTTTTAAGCATTTGAAGCATGTCGTTGGCTCGTTCCCTTGACTCTTGCATGTTGCTTCCTACATAAAAAGTAGCAAGAAACAAGTTAGGGCTCTACACCAGAATGCAAAAGATTTACAAATAACATGTTTGCCTTTCATTACAGGTAACTTAAAGTGTAAAATTTATCCCAGCATGACACATAACTTTGCCTATGATTTTAAATCCAAAAATTAAAGGAAAGTAAAAGAACACTCTTTAACTGTTATTAGCTGTATTATAAAAGAAATTTTCAACTGTGTTTTAACGCAATCTGAGATTGAAGGGGTGTACTTCAGTGGCTCACTGAGATGGATGTGGGGAATATACACTGCTGGTGGAGGTGACAGGATTTAGTTGTGTAACAGAACAAATCTGACCTGTCTTGATATCAGACAGACTTACCATCTCCTATGATATAGGACTGTAAACAGCCACATGCTCTGAATTTAAAATGTGGACAACAAAGCCTTTCAGCTGAAACAAGATTAAAAAAAGCAGTCAAAATGAATGCAAGCTGATATGTGATATAAAGCTTCATCAAAGTAAATTTTTATTTTCATTGATTTCTAAACTCTTTAGAAGGCACCACAAGCATGCATACTGTATGTTCCTTAATTTATAATCATTGATGGTCAGCATTAACAGTCCTTGCCAGGTATCTAAATGATCTTTTAAAACTTACGGTTTAGCATCAATTTTAAAGCTCATGATAAAAAGCATACTTTACTAATAAAAGTAAACTTATCATTTGATATTACCATCAGGGTCTCCAAGTCCTTCTACTAGAGACATTGCAAACTGGTTTGCCTCCTCCAGATACTTTTTCTTTTCTTCTGGATCTGGTTCACAGCGTTCTCGTCTTGGCTTTTTAGGACGATCAAAGGACAAACCTAAATTTGGTACAAGTCAAAACATTTCTCATCAAAAAACTTAATCAGAGATAGATGTACTCTTTTCAGTGTGATATTACAGAAAGATGTCACTGCCTGCCCTTACATTAGTTATCTACTTCAAGTTCTCAAAGTTTCACATGAAGTAGCATGTTCCACAATTGTCTTGGTAAGAGTTCAAACAAGTTTCTTCTAGCTTCACATTAAATTTGCAAAGAGTAACAAAATCATTAAGTGTGTAAATGTCTAAAATCCTTTGTAGTAAACAAATTATCCAGGGTTGTCAAGGTTAGTGGTTGTATAAATGCTACAGAGAAAGTAGGTAGCAACCTTTGCTCCTTGCTGATGCCTGACACAAGTCCACAGTTGCATTTCAATGAAAAAACCCTGAGTATGAGCACCCTGCACTGACAGCACATTACACACTCTTTATACCCTGTAACTCCCAAGATCTGATTGTAAATTCTTCCCTCTTGCTCCTAAACATTTCCTTATACGTTAATTGCAAGAATTTGGTGTTATATCAAGATACATGTACATGTCACAACCCTGATGCCATAACTTTGATCACCAGCGATATTTTCATAACCTGTTTGCTAGATAATGTAACTAGATAGGGAGCACAGTTACAAGTAAAATCACTTATGGGAGTTAAAAGGTGACATGTAAGCTCACAAACAATATAGCATTGCACCAATGACAAGCATATTTTAAACCAAATCAAAGGGTCCAAAGTAACAACCAGTTGCTCCATATTGCAACCAAAGATCAACTGTTGGCAACAAGAAGTTTTAATGGTAACCACTTAAGGAGGCCAGGGACTTAAATGTTTTACTAATGTTCATCATGTACATTGTAAAGAATCGATCCTCTTGTTTTGTTATGTTTTTGATGCACTTAACAGGTGATGGTTTAGGAGCATGATTTTGTTTCAACAAAGAAACTTATTTAACCCTTCCTGTTAACACATTCCTCTCTGAAACCAAATGTTTTAGGCCACCAAATTTTTCCAGTAATGATATTAAAATAAGAATGTTCAATCATTTCTCACTTGCCACCCAAAAAGATTTCTCTTGGACCCTATATTACTGACACCTACCACAAGCATTGCACAGAGTGAGAGTCTTCCCTGTTGCTGGATCAACCTTATGCCGAGGACTTGGCTGATGGGAAGAAAGCTTTGGTCTGTTGCCTCGTCTTGAAGGGTTGATAACATATGGAGAACCACACAAGTCACACTTGAATGGGATGGCTGGATCACGACGAGGAATACGAAGCAAAGGATTCATGCGTCTCCTTCTCTTCTTCTTTGCTTTAAGTTCATCTTCTGTTGGAGATTGAAATCTGACTGGTTTCCTCTTCCGCTCTCGTTCACTTGCTCTTCTTCTTTCTAGCTCCTCTGATGAACCCTTCAGATGTTGCAAAATATGCATATTTTAAATAATATTCATTTTCGAGATTATTTTTCACATTCTAGATATGTTTTCTGAATGAGGCAAAAGGAATGAACCAAACCTCTTTCTCTTGAGAGATTTAAAATGATGAAACTGCTTTTTTTTCAGGGTGGTAGTAAAACAATGATCAAGTTTCTTGTTGGGCAAAATCAAACATGTTCTCTTTGTTTATAACAAAATTACACAATCTAATTTCTAAATTAGCACAACAGTACTTCAGGCATAATCTGCACATGGACTTAAATGAAGCTACAGTTAGAATGATGGTTACATGTACTTCCTTGAAGACATCTTATACAGTAGTTCATATAAAATACTGAACAAAGGTATAAGATCGTTATATATGAAGAACTTCTTCTTAAGCACAGACAGCATACTGTATACAAATGTAGCATGATGTACCTTACAGTAACGTGGCTAACAAATGCACCCAGTGGGAGTATATCAAATTCAACTTAAACTACTCCTACTGTATATATTGATCAAATCCTAACTTAAACAGTTTTCATACCTCAACATCTCCCATATCAGAGAGTCTGTTATGGGTTAAATCTAAACTTGGTTCTGGAAGATCTTTGGATTGTGAGGTATCATGCTCCTCTTCTACTGCACTAGCTCTGCTGTTAGGATCCCGATGCCCAAAAATGACACTAAATACTGCATCATCAGCTGCTGAAGTCTCACCAAGAGCACTAGTGGATGGAGCATACAGGTTTGAGCTGGCACTTGAGTTACTAGCCACTATTCTCAGTCTTGAGGCATGGCCAACTGGTGTATCCTGTGAAGGCTGATGACAAGGAGCATCTAACAGGTTATTTGATGAAGAATTTCCTGCAAGAAGTGTTGATACTGCAAGACTTTCACAGGCAGTGCGTACTAATGTTTCTAGTGCACTTGTATTTGGAGCTCTTGATGACTGCAGAACAGACTCATTGTCATCTTCTGACACTGATGAGGCTTTAAATAAAATGAAAGGGAGACATATCAAATACAGTTTTACAAAATTGATGACAATATACATGTAGCATCACAAAATCACAGTTAATTAAACTTAAGCTACTGTATTTTGTAAGACAAAAAAGAAAAAGAACATTTTCAGAAATGAATTTGAAGAAATCAACATTCATGGTTCATGCACATGGAACCAAATGCTATTACAAACGTACCAGAGTATCAGACTTGAAATTTTTTTCAATTAGCTTTAAACTCTACAAGTATAAAACCCCTCGCTGGAACATCAGGGTCAGGAAAAGGCAAAGATTTTCTCCACATTGACAGAATCTCTTTCCCTTAAACACACAAGTGTGAGTCCAACCTAATTTCTCCTTAAAAATTAACACTCCTGTATCAGGCATTAACCCTTTAACTCCCAGATCAAATTTGAAATTCTCCTTACTGTCAACCACAATTCTTATAATGTTAGTTCAGAGAATTTAGTTTTGGATCAATTAATTATCCCCAAAATGATATTTTTCTTTATTCTCATCACTTATCTGGTTGATACTGTATTGAAATTGTAAGGAGAAATTCTGTCTTTGTCACTCCTGGGAGTTAAAGGGTTAAGGTCATGAGAGTAATGAAAACCGTCACTGACTAATGAAGCTCTTGATTACTAAACAAATTCTCCTTGCTTACACCTAAAGAAATGTATGAAGAACAGTATGGAGAATATCCATAATGATGTTAAGTTTTATGGGTTACATGTAAGTTAGAAGGTGGGTTCTTGAGACATCAGGAGGCTTCCATTCTGTTTTATCAGCCTCCTGATAAAATAATGCACCTCCTCTTTAGCTGGCAAATCTATGCAACCCAACAATTTGACCTTATTCCAGAAATAATTGAAAATAACTGTTACAAATCCAATCAGGCCTGCTAAAAATGAGGTGCCACAAATACTGCTTGAGCATTCAAACTGGTCTACCTCCAACAATAATAAAGCCCTCCATGTGACTCTTGACTTAAAGATTGACCATTCCTGAAAAGAACCTGCTAAGCTAAAGACCTCCATGCTAACACCTATTAATCCAGATTTTAGCTGCACACTTAATATCATTACTTGGTAAAAGGTTTGTTCTTGCAGAGCAAGACAGTCATGGCTTTATTTTCACCATTTATTTACTTTTAAACAACAATTACTGCAGCAATACATCTTTCATAGCAAAAAAGACAAATAGCATCTCAAAAAGTGACAAATTAAATCACTCTTCACAGAGCATTGCCTTATGGAATGCATAAGGCCTCTGAGACATGCAGTAAGGGGGTATATTGAAGTATCAGTACACATTTAGACAGATAACCAAATAGACAGGCTCCCTGCTCTATCTAGATAAACAGGCCCTCCTGTTCATGCTTAATTTGAATACGACCTAACGTTCCGATTGACAATGTACATATGGAAGAAGATACATATAAATCCTGAAAATGTAAATTGCAAAATGTCTACTGCAGAAATTAATGTCAGGAAAAGTTTTCCTGTGAGGATTAAATTGTTACTCTTCAATCTCGGGTCGAACATAATCTAAGATATTTCAAATATCGATACATGTAAACGATTCGCATTCTGTGCAGCGGCACGGTATTATGACACTTCTAATTCAAGTAGAACGATTTTAAGAAGAGACTCTGGCAACGATATCAAAGTGTTCCAACATTCCACGATGAACTGCGAAATTAAAGGAATACTAAACTCGCCGATCTGCGTTCCGCAAATGGAACGCAAGCTCATAAACACGGCACACATGATATACACAAACCATTTTTTTCACGTGATTACTCTGAAGCTGAATTTTTACTTCGCTTCGGATAATCGATCCATCGCAAAACTCCTCTAAGTTGCAAATGAACAAAAAGGGAATCATTTTTTTTTGCTAATTCCTACGAGAGATAAGGTTAAATACTCAATTCTCCCATTTCAGAGTTGATAGAAGCTCAACTGAAAGATAAAATTTGAGAGAATCTAGAAACTCATACCAGCTGACTGATTGTTGTCCTTCTCGTTTTCCGTTTCTCCCGGGAAACTGTAAGAGCTACCAGGATCTTGGCCTTCTTCAGCTAAATTATTGCCTTCAAAGTGTTCTTCAGTCACCGATTGAAAGTTTTCGATGCCGCAATTCAGCGTCTTTTCAGCGTCGATTACCTCGGCTGGCCCACCCGAAGCCATCTTCTTTCTCAAAACACATCACCTGCCCTAACTGCGAGTTGCATTCTGGGACTCAGTTCCGAATACAGCCGACAAACCTCGGCCTCTCTGATGTTGAGTGATATCTTAGTCGGAATAAATTCGTTGCATCCGAGTAGTCTCCGACTCCAATACTCAAACATAACCTGTTAGAAGTATGCCTCTCGTTCATGTTAAAGTTCAAAACACCCATTGAATTCGAAGCTTGTCGACCTTCACTTACCCCACTGTGTTTTGTATCTTCGAATATTTCCCTAAGTTGCTATATCCGTCCAACGTGAGGGAGAAAAGTGTTGATATGCAGGCCGCTCCTTTTTCCCCTGTAACAGACATAAAAATTGTCTGTCAGAAGGAACGCTATCCACCCGGTTACTTCATGGTAAGATAACTTTTGAAAGGAATACACTGTCTTTGTATCAAACTCCATGAACCTTTTAGGCGAGCCAGAAAAGCTGTCTGGTAATCATATCTACGTTTTCAAGTATTTCGATTTTTGTCTTGGTAAATATTAATGAATTAGTTATGAATTTTATTATTTTGAATTTTTTATCTCAAATTTGTTTTAGTTTTCATGAGAGTACAATAATTTCCAACTAATGTAATTTTCTAGCATGGTATAAAGACAGGTGATGGTCCTTGCAGTCTTTATGGCACAAAATTGTGTTGTGATTGCTGTACCAGATATTGAAAGCAAGTCCACAAGCTGCATGATTAGTTTCAAAGAGAGGGTTTCCAGTTACAAGCCCTATCTACAAAGGAGAATCACTCTAGTGAACTCATAAGAATTTTGATTTTGTTTTAGAAATTTCTCATCACCAAACCTGTTTACTAAAACTTGTATTTTGCATACAACTTAAATAATGTTGATCACACTCCTCAAAATGTCAAGATTGCATTTAGAACAGTACAATTTCTCTGTTTACCAAACTAGGGCCCGTTTTTTCAAAATTCCTGGTAACTTTCCAGAGGATAGCATTAGCCACCCATTCAATAGTCAGGACTCGATCATAAAATCCGCATTTCTTTGGCATTCATAACTGGCAATTTAAACTTTTTATCTCCATGTCCCACACATTTTTTTTAAGTAGTGGTAGCTTCAATTTATGTTAATCTTGTTTATTAAAATTAACTAGAGTGAGATTATTTTATTAAGCCATTGCTGTATATAACTGTTTGCAAATATTACAATGTGGCTGCTTTTATGCTTCCACTCATTTTCTTTTGTATAATTTTACTTCTTCACTCAATAAGCTTACAAAGACTGTTCAAGGTAATGATGGGCAGTTATTTGACAGCACATGGAGACATAAAGGGAAACGTTATCTTTGCTTTGCAAGACAGGTAACCAGCTTATGAAGAAAGATAGTAAACTTACCCTATACAAAGTTCAAAGTTATCAAAATTTGTGATGGTTAAAAATTTAAACAGTAGCCTTTCTCTTAAATGGTTGAGTCAGCTTTAAACATAGCATATGATAGCCAATGCATATAAATAATGGTAATTGAACTGAGTTTGTTGTCCCAAATACAAGACTTGGTCAGTTCAAATATTTTATTGATGCAGTACTGAGCTGGTTTGAAATTAAATTCATCCATTTTTTGGGGGGAAAAAATATGAGTTTGGAAATAAAAGTTGCAAAATTTGCCACATGATACTCTTTGTCTTTCATTTTCCTGCAATTTGATTGGCTACATTAAACAAGCCTTGAAATCTGATTGGTTGTTTTGTTTTTAGTGTGGCCTGCTCATTGGCTGGGAAAAAGATGTGATTTAAAGCAAAAAATGTTGTAATTCGTGAATAAATTGCACCAACTAGAGCCAATGATCTCAAAATAGGTGTAATAAAGAAAAAAACTGTGCAGCATTTCTTGAGGTTTATCACACAACAGGCTGCATCAGATTGAATTGTGTTTCAAATTTTGCAATTAAATCATCAAAACTATGTATAATAACTAAGTATACCAGGCTTGGGAAATCTCTTTCATTAATCAAATGTAAAAATAATTTTATACTGAATCTATGTATAATCAATTTTTCTTAGGGAGGACAGAATGTGATTGAAGACCTAACAATTATTGGTGAGGATGATCATGTGCCAGCAGGATTTACAGCACTCACAAAAGCTCATGATGATGGTATGTGCAGCCATTGATCTTTGGCAAATTTCTGAAGTACTTAATTATTCTGCTTCAAGGCAAGGTTGTTCTTCAACATGGTTATCTAGGCATGAGACTTGAGAAGCAGTACCCTCCAACACATTTGTTGGGACACCCTTTGCCCATCCCATCCCTCTCAATGTTGATCCACAAGATGGTATAGAAACATTGGCAATAGACCATTTTCAGTACAGTTTTGTACTTAGTTGCCAAGCCTTTGATTTGAAGTGAGACCTAAGATGACCTTGTCATGAAAGAGACCAATATCTATTTAGAATGATAACAAAGTAATTTACATCTGAAAAGCAGCAAAGTTTATATCATAACAAGGTCATCCTTAGCTTTACCCCTCTTCAAAGGCTTGGCATCCAGCCATACAACTGTAAAATGGACTATTAAAAACATTGGAAGGAGGAGAGGTGCATAGGAATCATCATAGACGTTGTTCTGAAGATGTGTGTCTGAACTAATTATGTCTAGGAGTGAAGTTCTGATTTTTTTTCCTACACATGCACTGGTTTTGTGTTCCTTAAAGACTTTTCCTTCTTTGCTGTGTTTTTGCAATTATTGTACAGTTCCATAAACAGTTTTACAGTAATAGATAGCAGCAAGGGCTTGAGTTTCTACTTACCAGTAGTTATTTTATTATTGCACCATATTTTAAATTACAAGATTTTAATGAGCAGCAAATATGTGGCTTTAAGTGGCAAAAAATTTGATTGTTAAGTAGTATGACTGTGCTGTTTATAATTAATGTCCACTGTATATCCATCCTTAACCCTTTAACTCCCAAGATCCTAATGTTAATTCTCCCCTGAAGCTGCTATGCATGTCCTTACAAATCAGGTACAAGAATTTGTTATTTGATGACTTTTACCTGATAAGTTTGAATATTCTCATTACCTGGTTGCTGGATATATGTATGGATATTTTAGGGAGAAGTTTCATGTCAATCACTTCTGGGAGTTAAAGGGTTAACCCAGGCAGCATAATAACTCTGACCAAAACAGAATTTCTCCTTTCAAAATCAATACAATGTCAAGAAAAGATGTGATAAGAATAAAGAGAAATATCAGTTGGGTAATTGTTAATTGATCCAATACCAAATTCTCTGTACTAACATCATAAGAACTGTATGGCAGACAGTAAGGAGTATTACTTAATATGAGATCTGGGAGTGAAAGGGTTAAAGATAAAAAAGTCAGTCTCTGCTTTTGTGATTGCCAAAAGTAATTAATTAAATACTTTTTATGTACTTGTATGAGTCTTTCTCAACACTTCCCTATATCTACACAATATTATGTGGACAAGGGATGAGAATAAAGAAAAATATCAATTATGAGATTACTAATTGATCCGATATTGAATTCTCTAAACTAACGTAAAGAGAATCATTTGGCAGACATTAAGGAGAAGTACTAATGAGATCTTGGGAGTTAAAAGGTTAATATCTTAGAGATCTTTGTATAATTATTATACAGTCAAGTAACTTCTCTCTTTCTTCCAGATGACAAGGCTCTGCGGAAACATTTTCTTTGTTTCAAAATCAAGGCAAGCAAGACAGCTGTCAGTGCAGTCTTTGATATTGTGTTAATTAACAGAAACAAAGGAGAAACAGCCCCTCCTGGATACAAATTAATTACGTAAGTATCTCTACATCAGTGCCTTGCTTTTCCAGGACTTAAATATGGAGAATGTGCCTGCTGAGTTGAGGTTATAAAGATTTAAAGTGTAATTTCAGGGAGTTGTTATGAATGGATACACCTAGTGACAGTAGAGCTGCTGTGTTATATACTGTACAGCTGTTTGCATTAAGGTTGTCAGAAACAGGGGGAGTGTATGCAACATCCCCAAAAGCATTGTGGGTAGTTCTCAGGTCTGATGAATTCATTTTGTTCCCAAGACTGATTTTTAATTCTAAACTTGATGAAAAATGAAAAAAGAACAGAGTTACCCCAGTAAATGGCAGGAATGATGTAAACTTAATGTGAGCAAATTCAAAGTGACCTCACAAAAAATTGTTTACAACATAATATTCTATGATTTTTTTCCTCTTGTATCTAAGTGCATATGGGTGTTTATCCTCCATTTATCAGTCCTTTTGTCCATATTTACTTGTTTCACTTATTAAAATTCATTCATCACCTTTTGAAATTGTTATGTGCTATTTTTCCTTTTTTCTGACAACCTTTCTGCAAACAGCTGCATGGCAGAATCCTGATTGATGGAACCTTAATTGCTCAAAGTTCCAACTAAAGCTGGCATCTGTTGCTCAGTCCAACACTGTCAAATTTTTCACCCAGTGATATTCTGAATCCTCCAGTTAATCAAACTAGTTTTCAATAACATGGTGGCAAAATTGGCCAATAAGTGTCCATACACCAGAATTTCAACCCTAACCCTTTAAACCCTTGAGAGTGACTAATATCTAATTTATCCCAACAATATCACCCCAGACTCGCTCATTAGGGTCACAAGAATGAGGGAAATTAATTCAGCAACTTAAGAAGCTCTTGATTTTTAAAAAAATTCTCCTTGTCAGCACCCTAGGAATTTTGTAGAGAACAGTATTGAGAACAGGCATGATGTTATCAGAGCAAAAGGGTTAAATGACCAACAAACTCCTCTATCGACTGATGTATTGCTCTGGGTGCTGAAGTACCATCGACTTTGACCATTATCAGTCATTTTTAGGACTATTCTATACCTCTGATGATCCAGTTTCATGGTCAAGTGTTGTTGAGGAATGTATATGTGTGTTTTTTTTTTCCAGGAATGAGGTAAATAACTTGTCAGTGTGTTTCAAAGCAGCTCCAATGACAAGAGAACCACCAGGACCACCTTCAGTTCATCAGAATCCATATAGTGTACCTCCTCAAAATCAGTGGTTAGTTTCCTTTACATAAAAAGCTAACATGAAATAAAAAAATATTAAACAGTCGGTATCCATAATTTAACATCAAATTTAGTTGGTGAATATCATATGCAACCAGCTGAGCTTTTGTGCAAAAACAAGCTATGTTTGACCTAATAAAAGCAGTTATTCATTTAACCCATCAAATGACCAGCACCTAATTTCTCCTTACAGTAAAACTGCTGAATCATTCATTAAAATCATGAGAATATAGGAAATGATTGCCAACCTAAGATGCTTTGATTGTTAAACAAATTCTCCTTGTTTGGACCAAAGGAAATGCATAGAGAAGAGTAAAGAGAATATGGATACTGATCTCAGGGTGTAAAGGGTTAGCTTAGGCTCAGATCATACAAGCCATCTAGCAAACACAAGAAGTAATGTGCCTGAAAAAGTATCAATGGCTCATGCCAGTAATGATTGGACTATTATGTTTAGAAATATGGATGTTGTATGCTGTCTAAAAAAACATATTTTTGAAACTTACTACTAATGGGGGTGCACAACCCCACCCCTTTGAGATGATCTCCAGCTTTCTAATGTAACTTCATGGTTATGCAAAATCTACTGTACTGTTTGCTATGTATTCTTAGTAGTTCACATTTTATTACTTCCCTTCTTCTTTGTTCGTTTTAAAATGTTTCTTATTGTATCATATGTCAGTTACTTCATTCCTTTGTGGTGCACCACTCCTAAGAACACCCTGGATCTACCTTGGTATACACAAAAATATCCATTAGCTAAGCACAAAGAAAATAAACTCATTCTGTGCCAGACGTTTATAGTGTCTTTACCTTTCCATAGGTATGGTCAGGCTCCAGTCCCAAGTCCCCAGCAGCACCAGCTAGGTTATCAAGCACTTCCTGCAGTGTCAGCTAAACCTGGAGTAAGTTCCGGTGAGTATAACCTTGTCTGTAGCAACCAATGTGATAGGATACTTGAAGAAGAGGAAAATTTTACAAGAGAATAAAACCTTAAACTTCGGTTTCTTGTGGTAGAAGAACGCTAGAAGGGGATGGATGAAGTGAAGGGAATGAGGACAATGGAAAGGAAATAATTGCGGCTGATTTGTATTGACGTCCTCACCATAAGTAATCATGATCTTTGAATGAACCACCTAGAGATGAAATTAATATTAAACAACTTCCCTCTCTGGAAACTTGCTTCTTAATTAAGAGAGCTCACTCATACAAACTACAGGTGTGAATACATACATGTTCATGTACACTTACCTGCACCAGAAAATGAACACTTTCTAAGCAGCATGATCTGCGAGCTCAGTGGTGTTCTGTCGCAATATTTGTGACAATTGTTCTTTCTTATGTACGGTCTTTGAATTATGTCAGTGCTCATCTTTATTATCGCCCAAACATGGGTAAAGACACAGTGCATTTGTTTGCCAGTGATACTCAGTTTTTTTTTCTTATTCTTGATAGCAATTGAAGGCCTTCCGTTTGAGGTCAATTCTAAGTTTGAGATGCTGTGGAAAAAGTCAGGGGTAGGTTAAAGTCGTCTACCACAGCGGTGCTCATAATGTAGGACATGCGCAAGGGAACCAATTTTGGCCGGCAGTGCGTTAATGTGCTGCTTAAAATTTCAAAGGAAAACTTAAGAAACGACCGCTGACACACAAGATATGTGAAAAAAGAAATGTTAATTCGTTCATAGGACTCTGTGAAAGCAAACGAAAGTAAAAAAAAAAAAAAAAAGGAAAATGGATTATTTTCGAACACAAAGTTTGTCTACGTATGGATTTCTTTCTGGTTACCATTGTGTTTTGAGCTTTTTGGAAAAAGTCAAACGATTTTCAAACACCGCGAATTACTCGCTCGTGCAGTTGTTTATAACTCTCTTGTAAGACAACTTGATTCTAACATCCTGAAAGCACGCCGCCTAGTCACCACAGCGTTTGTACATTCGCCTACGTCTGACGGCTGTGTTAAGTAGACCTTACAGCTGTAAGCGTTGCAGTGTGATCTTAATGAAAAACATAGAATCGTTTTTGCTCGAATGTAGGTTTGCGCCGACTTGTCTTAAATTCGAATATTCTTGCATGAGCGAAAACGCAAGGATTTAAAGTTAGAAATAGGAATGAGAAAATGAACGGGGTGGTTCAGTGGTTGGGCGTCTTTATTTTGAGAAAATTATGATATTAAGGGGTGAAGATCATTTGTTATCCAATATTTAACAGAGAACAGAGAAGATATTCAACATGCTCTCTTTAACGAGGGTGTTATATCTTTTCTTCAGCCTGTGATTCCAGCTATGCAAAGCTTATCTGTCAGTGACATAGACGTAAAGGTAAGTGGAACTTTCCGTTGAAGCCGGCTCCAAACCTGCGGGCTTGCAGCGGTAATGAGAGACTGCTCCCAGGCTTACAAGGCTCGATTGCAGTCTTGTTCATTGTTCCCATGAAGCTTAGATTCCTCGAGAATGCCTCTTGAGGGATCAACTTCGGAACCAGCTTATTACGGGAACTAAGAATTTCAGCTCGGTCTTCTTATGCCAAGTTATAAATCGGGATATATTTGTTAGTTCATCCTATTAGCCATTAGGCAATATCTTGAAATTTTCTAAATTTGCATGGCCTAGGCTGGTTAAAAGTGACATGTATTTTGGTCGAAATTTCGTTTCGCGTTTGTTTTTTCTCTTCCAGTATAACTATGACTTCAGCAAAGAGCAAGCTGTTACATCAAGATGAGAGAAACAAGCTGTCTGAGTCAGTCAGATGAATGGTTCGTCTTGCTGTGTCATGCAGCCAATTCCAATCTCTCAAAGCATAGTTACAACTCCGGCGGCAGCAATCACAAATTATATGCGACTGACCATTACAGCTTTGGAAGAGAACTTAAGATACAAAAACATTCCGAGTTATGTCTCCCTAAGTTTTCTAAATGAACTGTCCAATACAATTTACTCTGTCAACTTCACTCTGCTGCCATTCTCTTCTTCATTTTTCCACATTATTTTGCTCCAGGCAGTTTTTCTTGTCAAATTCCCTCGTCCATGTTATGTATTGAGCCGAGAGACTTGTTACGTCCGGAAAACCTTTCCACAAAACTGAGATACGTAAAGGCAGTGCTTGAAGGACGCTTTTGGTGTCCATTGAACTGTGGAACAAAATGAATGAAACTGGAATAAACTAAGACATGAAAAAGTAAACCCAAGGTCTTAATGATATTTTGTGCATTCTTGATATTTTGTGGTAAACAAAAGATATCATGGGCAGAACAATAGCTCTGCTCGAGTGTTTTAAAACTTCGTAAATGTCTTAGCCGTCCTCTGAAAGACAACAACTTGAAATTACCAAAATTTGCGTGGTGTTAGAACCGAAACCCTGACGGCAAGTCATTTAAGTTCCCATTTGGAACTCAACGTTGCTCACGTGCGTGAAGCTGTAGTTGAGGTGTGGCGCTGTAAGAGAAGGTACACGCATCCAGCTATTCGCAAAAAATTCTAACCGTTAATATAGATTCATTTTTTAATCAACGTCTTCCTCGGCGTTGAGGGCCTGACCGCCAAAGATCCCTTCTTTTAATGTGACAAACGTACAAAACGAAATTACGAGGACATCTAAAACAATATGTTCAACAACAAAGGAAATGCCTAAAGCTGGTTTTTTTTTTTATTACTTAGTTGGCAAGAGATAATTGATTCTCTTGTGTTGTCAGCTAATCCTTAATGGACAAAACATTGGCGCCGTTTTAGTCAACTCGGACTCTTAGGATTAAAGACTCTAAATTCTGAAAATACCGGCCGGATTCAAGATCGGTCAAATTCAGATGTATTCAGGTGGTTTAATTAGTTCAGGTCACTATGCATTTATGCTAATCTATGTTAAATAAAGGATTGTCATTAGAACAGGTCGCTTTCCTTTGAACCCACCGAGGGTTGATGAGGGTCAAAGTAATAAAATGGTTAGTTTAGGGCGTAACTAAACCAATAACGGAATTAAAATCTGACTTCATGATACGTAGAGTTATTTGATTTGAAAGTATGGAGTTAAACAGAAATCTTTCCTAGAGGGAAAATTTCCCTCTAACCAGGTGTATACAAAACAATGGCGAAACAAATAAATTACTTGCTGGATTGATGTTTTGTTCTAGAAATGGTATAGGGTTTTACGTAAATCTTTCCAAGGGCTGCCACCCTTTTTAATTGCCTTGATAATGATCTTAAGCAAATAGGTAGTGTTGATTAGTCATTATTTAATATATGCATTTGTACTGCTGTGAAAACCGTAAGTTAGATAACTCATTGGGTTAATTACGTCACCTTCGTTAACTAAAGAATATTGCGTTTTATTGTATTGTATTAATTATGGGTTTTGGGTTTAAGCGTGGAGTAAATGCAACTGTGGAAAACATCTCAAATGTTTGCATGAAAAACCCTTAGGGAAGGTCTTAGTAGGCTGTTCCTTTAGAGTGGTGTATGAATGAGCCATTAAAACGCGCCTATGTTTCACAAAGAGGATGGTCACTTGTAAGATACTTTGATAGATATGATAAGATAAAATAAGATAATTAAGTAATATTAATAACTTACCTTTTTATTGGCTCTCTAAAGGGTGGAAAAAAGTTCAATGAAGTTTCTTATTTACTTCAGCAATAGATAAAGAGATCTATTTTGTCATCGCAATCGACTAGTATTGCTCCAAGGGAGAACATCTATCTGAAGTTTCGAAAAGGTATGAAATCTGATCAAAGTTTATGTGTGATTTTGGGCCACTTTTAACCCCTAACGCGTGAACTCATCACAATTCTCGTAACTGCACAGCATTTGTATCCTATCAGCCGTGCATGAGGGTAAAACAACGCATTAGTTCGGGGATCGACTAAACTCCATGTGAGCAAATATGTAATAGCTTCTTTTCACTACAGCTTCACTTCCAGAAGGAACAACCCCGCAAGTTTTGAGTCCAGTCCGAACTGATGCAGACTGAAATGCGTTAGGTGTTCATAAGTTAACATTTCAAATACATATTATAAGCCTAGAACCGAGGGTCCAAAATAGACTTTTTCAATCCCGCATTCTGCCGATATTTTTCATTCCATCCCGCCATCCCGCCATTCCGCCATTCCACCATTCCGCCGTCCCGCTGCAATGAACATTTTAATCCCGATCCCGCTGGGTTAAACCCAAGTTGCTTTAGTTCACCAACAAATAATGGACAAATTAGCCTTTGCAATATTTATGATGTACTATCACTATGGAAAAAGGAAAAGACTTAATGCGTATTTAACGCTTAAAAAACGGTTGTTCCTCGGTGTGTTTACGGTCATTTCTAAATGAGACAAAAAAAACCTCCATCATCAGAAGGACCAACAGTAGAGTTTTACTGTCACAATAGTGGATAAAAATTCTTCAGCCGATCGCCTAACACTAGGAGTCATATCTCAAAGATACAACAGACTTCATCAACTTCATGGGAAGAAACAGAGCTTCCGAAAAAAGTGATACTCGTTTCGCTGGACGTTACGGGCTTATACCCGTCCTATCCTCTATCCCGCCTTCGAAACGGAGCATATCCCGGTCTCGCCTTCCTATTTTCATCCCGCATCTCGCCTTTAAAATTTCTCTTATCCCACATCCCGCCTCGATTTTAAGCCTCATCCTACATCCCGCCGAACCTATATTGGAACCTCTAGAACCATGATTCTTTGTCTTCAGTTGCGGCATTCATTTGATAATCACACGCCCTACTTATCCAACGCCCACGAATAATAGATAATTGTCTAATGCACAATAATCAATTTTCTTGTATCTACGCCTAGTAGACTCCTTTATTAATTCTGGCAGCAAATGAAACCACGACTGTTTTCTGTTTTTTTTTTCTTGTCTAATCATTTGATGGAACTTTCCGAATTTCATCATTTTGCCACAATTCAAGACATTTTGTTAAATTAATGCAAATCTATTCAGGTTATCAATATGGACATGCGCGTGACACTTATACTGATAGTCTTGGTTGCCATGACAATGGGACTTCATTTGAGGAGCCGTTTTGGCTTAAAACAGGGTGATGAGGTACGGTGTCATGATGCTATTGATAAATAGTAAATATTTACATGTAATTACTCGTCTGTTGGCTTTTGTTTTATTTTCTCACACATCGACATGAGAGGTACTTATGCTCTTATTTTAATAGTGCATTGCTGATGTCTCTCATAGATACAAGGTAAAGTTCTCCAGCAAGGGTGGCCCTGGAAGAAGAGAGCTTGTAAAAAATGCTACCGTCGTTTTATTACCACTCCCACGGACTGTTGCACTCCGGATCAAACTTGGTAAGTATTCGACATTTAAATCATATGAGTTGAGTTGAGGCAGGAAATTTTTACAAATATTTAGGTGTTGAGAAACCTCGCACATACATAAAAAGTCGCCATTTCAGTTTACCATACGTGTACTAATCAAGCATTAACAGGGATGAGTGTAATATAATTCAGGGAGTAACCTAGCGAGTGATTTCAAACTGTCCAAGCGCGTAGCGCAAGACTTATATGAAACTATGAGCGTGATTGCCCCTGAATTGTCCGACATGAAGTGCGACGGCCACCTGTGCCGATAACAAAATGCGAGAAACTCAGGAATAAAATATTTAATGTAAGAGCACATACCCTGAATACCAGTCAATATACTAGTTGATTTCTTCCATGTTTGTTTTCAGTGTGAACCTCTCAACCTGCTTGCTTAAAAAGTTTTTCTTTATTTCGATTGGCCGGCATTGGTTAGGTAGTTAAGTTTTATTGGCCAATGACTTTAAATGTTTAATTTTTATTGGCTCGTTAATTGTCTTTTTTGGCCTGCCCGATTCTGTCCAATAACCAGTGTTTGTAATCGGACAGGTAAAATCAGACATTTTGTACTTGAAACAGCCAATTAACCCGCAGATAGGGGCTGTAAGGAACCACTCATATCCGAGCATTTTGTAATTAGCACAATTATACGGAGTATCCGCGCAGTGTAATGAACCCTACCGAGTTCTTTTTAGCTTTTAAATATTTTTTGTAATACCTAATTAGAACTCTACTTTATTTTTAATGATTTACAGTAAATGGGATGGAAAATGTCATTAAACCGATGTGAGCACAAATCGAAGAAAGTACAGAGATGTTGTGGAGCTAGTGAAGATATTTAAACGTGCGATTTCATGTTCCATTCAAGTCAGAAACTTTTCGTAACCGGTAGTATTTTTTGTAGAAAATAGAATAATAAGCTCCACTGATCTTTGAAATAAAATAACTGCCTATTGGCGTTTTTCACGGTTGTTTTGAGTTAAACGAATCGAGCTTTTCTCAGTAAAGAGTACCACCCTGTCCTGGGAGAGTAGAAATACTCCTGGACCCTTCATAGTCCCCCATGATATGGAAAGCAAAATAGGCTCTGGCATTGTAGGCCACACACCTCAGGTTTTCATTGGCGCTGCGACACGAACGGCGAACCCAAGCGTTTCGAGTCGGCGAGCGATGTGAGCACTCAAGAAGTCCTCGAGGGTTCACAGACCTCTTGCACAAATTGCATGCCCCCGGGGCCAAAGACTGTTGCGTTGCGGGTGAAACGACAGGGTGGTGCGTATTAGTACTTGACATTTGAAGCTTATGAGTTGAGTGGGTGCTTGGAAAGTTAGAAAAAAGGTCTATTAGCGAACCTGTTCTGCGAAAAATGGCGTGTAAAAGGATTAAAGGATTGGGCCTTTTTATGAGGGGAATGTCGAATTAGTAGTTCAAAGCAATGTCGAGAATAGTTCACCTTAAAATGCATAAAGGCGCGGTAGCCGAGTTTACCGATGTTATACAGGAGCTGGTTGGTTTTACGTTCCTAAAGGCAGATAGCTGAAGGACTATGTTTATTTATTGCGTTTCCTGAATTGGCCTTCGACCTAAAAAACAGCTGAACGTTACCAGCGTTCTAAAACTTGCCACAGATATTCTCTACATCATTGATATTTTACCGTTTTTAAAGAGTTTGGTATTAAAATTTCGGTTTTTTAGAGAAACTTAGGAAGCTATCAACCTGGTTGCATGTTTGACGACATATAAACGTATTCATTCGGCCCTAGCCATCACTAACAGTCTTCAACTGAAGAAAGCAGTCAATAGAACACATTTCAGTAGGACAATTCTGTTCCACCCGGCCAAAACAAAAGAAGTTAATTGAAAACGCTTTTATCTATGTTCTCCGGATTTTATCGTTCCATTCTCTCTTCTATGAAGCGGGCAGTCAACTTTCAATAACTATCTGCTCTTAAAAGTCCCTGTTGGCGGGTCATTTATTGCCGAATTGAAAGCTATAAATTGTTTGTAATATTTATGATTAGAAAGGTGCTTTTAACGAAACTTTCTTATCAATTCATTCAAAATATAATGAGGTTTCAGAAAGTTCTCTGTGTCAATAGTTTAAAACAGGTTTAGGACTATAGATTCTGGAGCGATTGGACTAGAATAGCTCTTTGTACTCTAAAAGATTTATTGATTGTGTTGATTTTATAGCGCAATCTCGACTAAAATTTGGAAGTTTCTCCTCATTTAGAAGTCCCTATTTCAATCAATCTTAGAGACCTATTTTTTTTTAGCAATTTATAAATTTTTATCCTCTTAATGCGACAAGAGATCACTCAGGCAGTATGTTATTGAAGTTTATTCATAGAATTCTATTCTAAAGAGGTGCTGGCTACAATTAGCTTTCATGGTTATTTTCTGGCTGTTAAATTAGGCAGAGATGCACTGCTCTGGTATCGTGGATTGACACTGTTGTAGATCAATTGACGCACCATCCATATGGGCGAACGCTGAAAAAAAAAATGAAATAAAATGAGATGTCAATAACAAGGATGACGAGGAATATAACAATGATGATGACACTGTCATTGACAGAGAAAGAGGCAGTAAAATAGACAGAGACAGGGACAGGGACAGTGACAGTGACAGGGACAGGGAAAGGGAAAGGGAAAGGGACAGTGACAGACAGTGAAAGTGAAAGTGAAAGTGAAAGTGAAAGTGAAAGTGAAAGTGAAAGTGACAGTGACAGGAAAAGTGACAGTGACAGGGACAGGGACAGTGACAGTGACAGGTACAGTGACAGTGACAGTGACAGTGACAGTGACAGTGACGGGGACGGGGACGGGGACGGGGACGGGGACGGGGACGGGGACGGGGACGGGGACGGGGACGGGGACGGGGACGGGGACGGGGACGGGGACGGGGACGGGGACGGGGACGGGGACGGGGACGGGGACGGGGACGGGGACGGGGACGGGGACGGGGACGGGGACGGGGACGGGGACGGGGACGGGGACGGGGACGGGGACGGGGACGGGGACGGGGACGGGGACGGGGACGGGGACGGGGACGGGGACGGGGACGGGGACGGGGACGGGGACGGGGACGGGGACGGGGACGGGGACGGGGACGGGGACGGGGACGGGGACGGGGACGGGGACGGGGACGGGGACGGGGACGGGGACGGGGACGGGGACGGGGACGGGGACGGGGACGGGGACGGGGACGGGGACGGGGACGGGGACGGGGACGGGGACGGGGACGGGGACGGGGACGGGGACGGGGACGGGGACGGGGACGGGGACGGGGACGGGGACGGGGACGGGGACGGGGACGGGGACGGGGACGGGGACGGGGACGGGGACGGGGACGGGGACGGGGACGGGGACGGGGACGGGGACGGGGACGGGGACGGGGACGGGGACGGGGACGGGGACGGGGACGGGGACGGGGACGGGGACGGGGACGGGGACGGGGACGGGGACGGGGACGGGGACGGCGACGGCGACGGCGACGGCGACGGCGACGGCGACGGGGACGGGGACGGGGACGGGGACGGCGACGGCGACGGCGACGGCGACGGCGACGGCGACGGCGACGGCGACGGCGACGGCGACAGTGAAGGGATGATGGCATGGTATCATCGTTAAATCTTTAACTCAACTGAAAAAGTGAGCTTTTACTAAAATTGTTTCTTATAGGATAATTACCATCTCTTTGGCGGGCAGCAATTGTGACTTGAAGGTCCGAGAATAGTGTTACAACGTAAACAACCAGGGTCATTCATGGTCTCGATCTATAACGCACATTGTAATCATTACTACCAAAGTGAATAACCAACTGGTTATCCTTCTCGATCAGTCAGATTCTTTACTTCGTATTTATAGAAATCTTCATCAGTAAAGGAAATAGTACACAACGCAGTAGTAGTATCTTAAAGGAAGCTCTCCTGTAACTGCACTAACTTAAAAGTATTCTTACATTGTCATCCTGTGGTAGCTCATCATCCTCTTTGAAATCAAAACGGCTCCTCAAACGTTTTCCCATTGTAATGGCAACAAAGACCACCAGCACAAGTGTCACGCGCATGTCCATTCTGATAACCAGAATAGATTTACATTTAGGGCAAACAAAAAGCATCAAATAATTGCATCAGAAAAGTTTTAAAATATTCCTGGTGCGCTTGAAACATGTATGACATACGTGACAAGGAATGGAGTGTATTAACTACGAGTTGGGGCAAATAAAAAGCAATAAATAACTGCATTAGGTAAGTTATTCCCCCACTCTGCATTGTGACTGAGAGAAGTCGATGGCCATGCATAAGATTATCGTATCTGTCTCGTGTCTATTGAGAGAATGTTTTGTCTTGTCACAATTTTTTTCAATTGAATACTGAGTATATAATGGATAAGCCTACTCTCGCTCTCTTAAAATGCGTTATTTGATGAAAAATAACCATTACACGAAGATAGAATCACTGGGCCAAGATTTTTCACCCATTTTGTTTGCAAAAACTTTTTATACGCCATGTATAAAAACGCCACGCGATCGGGCAAAATTGTGTGTAGCAAATCGTTCGGAAAGTGATCAATTGTTTCGGTTAAAATCCGAAAAACATTGCACCTCCTTTCCACGGCACAAAGCTGAAAAAATTCAAGTACTGTTTAACGGTACAGACGCCCATTGCAGTGCAGGAAAGGTTTTGCCCAACTTTGGTTTGATTTTCTTACCTTCCTACTTTAAAGCGTCCAGACTTCAGACAGATGTTCTCTCTCAGAGATGCAAGTCAAGAATGATGATGAAATAATCTGCTCAATCTATAAAACAAAGAAATCAACTCCTTAACCTTTTTTTTTACCCTGCAGAGAGCCAGTAATAATACATCCGGTGCTATCTCTTTCGGCATCTTTCATTGTTTCCCTTTATGAATGGACAAGACTATCCTACTGATAACTTATGTGACTGTTTTGTTTCTTAAAATATTTCACTGGAATATTTTTGTCAGCTACGCCCAGTATTAACAATCGGCCACTCTATACAAAAACTGTATGCATAATAAAGAATGAGGAAATTTTGCCCAGCTCTTCAAATGCAGGAGTCAGTGTACTTCCTCGAACAAATTTTTTTCATCAGAAAATTAGAACACTTTCATTTATGTTATCTTGATCCGTTTCTTCTTACCATTAATTTATTCAGGAGACTGGCAGTCTTCGTTTGGTAATTATCTACTTTTAAGGATCCTCATGAGTGACTGTTTTGTCCCTGATTGCGGACCGGAAAGTCATTTGTGAATATTTCTGTGCAGAGCTGTTTTTAAGAGGAAAAGAAAAAATAAAGCTTAAGGTCATTTTTTTTCAACCTGCATCATTTCGGCGAAGTAATCAATCTTTCAGTCCCTTTGAATCCCTTCTTTCTATTGTCTTATTCAGGAGACTGGCAGCGTTCATTTGGTAATTATCTACTTTAAAAGATCCCCATGAGTGACTTTTTTGTCCCCTGATTGCGGACCGGATTTTAAAGTTTTGTCAAAGAAACATGATTGCGGTTTTGGAGGTGTTATTTTGCTTCTTAATCGGCCCTGACCACTACAATTCTTTAAAGAAACCAGTCATTTGAGAAAATATTACATAATCAAATAAGGAGGGTAAGTCGCTAAAGAAACTGTGGCGCTGCGTCAGTGGGAAAGTGTAACGATATTATCTATCTCGGCAACTAATGGTTTAAAGCCGTAATTATTTTCGTAAAGGAAATCAAGTGCTTTCGCCACTGTTCTCCCTATCAACAAACATCAAAAATTTGACAAAAATCAAAAACAAAAGATTTGATGGGCAGAACAATAGTTTCTGCTTGAGTGTTTTAAAACTTCGTACATTTCTTAGCCGTCCTCTGAAAACCAACAACATGAAATCACCAAGATTTGCGTGGTGTTGAAACTGAAACCCTGACGGCAAATCATTTAAGTTTCCATTTGGAACTCAACGCTGCTCACATACGTGAAGCTGTAGTTGAGGTGTGGCGCTGTAAGACAAGGTACACAATGGAGACACCTACTCCGGTACGAACGCCGAGAGAAACAATTCCTTCCAAACATCTGCAAACTGCTGTTATTGAAATACTATTCGGCAGCATTCTTACAACACCTTTACGCATTTCATGGTGAAGTATTTTGAAACAGCTTTGTACGAACGATAAACAATCCTTGAAGCGAAAATAGCCATTATGAACAAACCAGAATGTTCTATAAATATCACTCGTTTCGATTATTTTTTGCATTTCAATACCGCATCACGGTCCACTTCTTCCAAATTCGTCAGTCAAAATGTATGATTTCTCATCTAACCAGTCAACTGGGGATTATTCTCAATATATTTCAAACAAAAGAACGGAAAGAAACATTTTGAGGTCGTGTTACGAGTGAAAACTAAAAAACGCAAGAGAGATGTCCCGAGGTGTGCTTCCCTGTAATTTTTGATCAGGGTGCGCGCCCAGCTCATTCATATTGAACACCATAACATAGCTCAATTAATTAAAGAACTGTATGCATAATAAAGAACGAGGAAATTTTGTCCAGCTCTTCAAATGCAGGAGTCAGTAGAGTCCCTTGAGCAATACTCAACAGAAAATTAGAACACTTTCATTTATGTTATCTTAATAAGTTTCTTCTTTCCATTGTCTTATTCAGGAGACTGGCAGCGTTCATTTGGTAGTTATCTGCTTTTAAAGATCCCCATGAGTGACTTTTTTGTCCCTGATTGCGGGCCGGAAAGTCATTTGTCAATATTCTGTGTAGAGCTGTTTTTAAGAGGAAAAGAAAAAAATAAAGCTTAAGGTTATTTGTTTTCAACGTGCATCATTTCGGAGAAGTATTCAATCTCATGCAGGAATGAAATTTTCGCGCAAAATTAATTGAGCTATGTTATGGTATTCTGTCAATCAGCGTTTTACCCGCACCGCTTAACACAACCGACAAAATCCAGTGCCGTAAAGCAATTAGATTCCTTGAGGGGGCCTATTGTGAAGATGCCTAAACTTGCGTATGATTCTCAGTCAGATTTTAACTTCGTTTTTGGTTTAGTAGTGCCCAATGTTTCCCCTTTGAGCGATACCAGTCGGGACTGAAGGCAAATCGCCTGCGTAATCTAAAAGAACCCACTTTATTGCTTTGATCCTCATCAACCCTCGGTGAGCCAAAAGCAAAGCGACCTGTTTACATGACCATTCTTTATTCAACATAAATTAACATGAATGTTTGAGGACTTTAGCTGATTGCACCACCTGTATACGTGTGAAGAGGCCTTATTAAACGTTGGTTCTCATATACTGGTGATGAAATTGCTCATTTAATGTTATCTTACAACTACAAATGACTCTAAGAGAAGGAAGAATGACCACAATTCAGCTGAATTTTCGGGTGAATTTGACCGATATTGACATCGGCGCCGATGCCAGGCTTGATTACACTGTGCATACCAACGCCACTAACGCCAAGTGCTACCCTTGAATTTTGGTCTGAAAATGGTTATGGATATTTACACACCGGGTCTAAAAATTGTGCTTTCTGGTCTGAAATAAGGCTAAGATTTGGAGAGCTGGGCACGCACCCTGATCAAAAATTACAGGGAAAGCACACCTCGGGACATCTCTCTCGCGTTTTTTAGTTTTCATTCGTAACACGACCTCAAAATGTTTCTTTCCGTCCTATTGTTTGAAATACATTGAGAATAATGCCCAATTGCCTGGTTAGAAATTAGAAATTTTGACTGATGAATTTGGAAGAAGTGGACCGTGATGAGGTATTGAAATGCAAAAAATAATCGAAACGAGTGATATTTATAGAACATTCTGGGTTGTTCATAATGGCTATTTTCGCTTCAAGGTTTGTTTATCGTTCGTACAAAGCTGTTTCAAAATACTTCACCATGAAATGCGTGAAGGTGTTGTAAGAATGCTGCCGAATAGTATTTCGATAACGGCAGTTTGCAGATGTTTGGAAGGAGTTGTTTCTCTCGGCGTTCGTACCGGAGTGGGTGTCTTCATTGTGTACCTTGTCTTACAGCACCACACCTCAACTACAGCTTCACGTATGTGAGCAGCGTTGAGTTCCAAATGGAAACTTAAATGATTTGCCGTCAGGGTCTCTGTTCCAACACCACGCAAATCTTGGTGATTTCATGTTGTTGGTTTTCAGAGGACGGCTAAGAAATGTACGAGGTTTTAAAACACTCGAGCAGAGCTATTGTTCTGCCCATTATATCTTTTGTTTTGATTTTTTGCCTAGATAGGGCATGTTTACATGGCAGTTCAACAATCTTTCCCTAATAGTATCAGAGTGCCACTCAAAACACACTCATATTCACTCAAAGTAAACTCGATTGGTGACAGTTCTGATCTTGGTACAATTGCATGTCTCACACTTAACTGCACTTTTATTTCTTTTTAAACAATTGTAGTATATTCTAGTGAACGAATGACTGGGGTAACCACGAAATTAAAAAACATATGCACTTATGTTCACTTTAAAACTCTCGATCTATCGCTTTTCAAACAAATTTCACTTGTCTTACGCTTAACAGTAGTACTGGTAACCTTTTGAACATGTAAGCGCAGTATATATTATTTTAGGAGTAAATGATCATAAGAAACACTCTCGTATCTGCTAAAAAAAAATTGATCGATACCGGTTAATGGACTAAAATTGACTCGTCTCATACTTGAAACAGGGTTTGTTGCTTATCAAACTACCACAGCATATAATGACTAAAGTGAATTACACTCATGTCTACTCAAAAAAATTGATCGACTTTAGTTGACGGAAAAAACTTAATGCAGTGTATACTGCTCAACGAGTACACGAAAAAGACAAGAAATCTCAAAACACACCTATCTCCACTCAGAGTAAACTTTAGCATTCACAGTTCTTACCAAGGTTCATTTGTGTCACACTTTTAAATGCTAGTGCTTAAAGTACTTTAATGGTTCCTCAGGTGGTGTTTCATTGTATGTGGTCCTAGTGTCAATACTGAAGAGGTTATTCTTCTCTCCAAAGCCCATTTGAAACTGCCAAACGTACAGCTTGGTATTCGGTGGGATTTTCACCTTAAGGGTTTCTTCTTTTTCAGTGGTGTCACTCCATTCGAACTGCGCTGTGTTGACCATCTTTCCACCAAACGTCTCCTTAAGGCCATACTGAACTTTACAGAGACACTCAATCAATTTAGAAACATTGATCTGCTTATCTTTGCTTTTTGTCGTCTCGATGGACCAGTTAGACTCTATGGAGGATATTGTACTCTTGTCAAATCCAACGGTTTTCTTGATGTTTTTTTTCCATTCTATGGCAGTGTTGGAGTCGTTTTGAAGACATTTTACTTCTATCCAATGCCCGAACACTTTTCCGTGGGTGTACGCCATACCACCAGGGAGAAAATTGAGCACTGACTCGTGAACGCTGAAGTCTTTGCAATCTTTGTTCAAGTTCATGTTGGTGCTTCTGTGATAGGTGACACCCCATTTTCCAGCCTGCATTAGACAGTAGACATAATTCTTGGTACCCCAGTAATAGATGCCATCTTGGAACGCTTGGTGGATTTTATATTCAACGGCGTCTTCATCTTTGTTCATATTTCTCACTCGCCTGTAGGTGCCTCTCTTGGCAAACACGATGTACCAATTACCAAAGGCAGAGTAGTAGCTGCTTCCTCCGCGACAGTTGCAATGAAGAGAGTAAACCACAGCGTCCTCGTCTTTACTCAGCTCGGTCACTCTGCGATACTCATCTCCTTTAATGATGTAGAAATAAGAGTCAGTGGCCAAGTAGTGATCGCCCCATCTACAGGCCTCACTTAAACGATGAATCTTGATACGTTTTCCAGTGTGAATATCTTCGCAACTCATGTAGACACCCACATCAGAACGGATGATATAGAAGCTTTTTTTAGTACCACAAAAGTCTATTCCTCTAGCCTCAGGTGCACTCTTTGGCACGATCTCCGGATAATCTGAAGCGGCCGACATATTTTTCAATCAGTGGTTGCAGCTGAAATAACGTTTCTTCTTGAGTATCTGCAAAGAAGAAAAATAAAGCAAAAAGACCGAGCTTTAATGGACGTTGACTTCGATTCTCGCTTGATCGTTAATGGAGGGAAGGGAAATAGAATAGGGCAATATTTGCGTGATCGGTCTTAAGTATACATTTCCCATCACGTCGAATGGGCCATTTGGGAACATATGGGAATATTTTTTTCGCACTGGACTGTTTTACTCTCCCTCGGAATCACCACATTCCAAACACCGGTTTGTTTGCGATACTCTTTAATCATTCTTCAATATCTTTTGCAACGATTCATCGACATAAAACATGCATCAATTGCCGTGTTAAAAAGATGACTACTTGATGATATATCGCTAACGTGATACAATCGCCTTTGCCATGATGCCATCACATCTATCAAATTGTAGCTGTCTATTGGCGTCTAAAACTGCCTTGAAAGTCGGCATATAAATCATTCCTGCCAATTGAAAGAGTCTAGCACCGACACTCCACTTACATTTTTTTCGCTTTCAGCTTCTTCAAAACAGATTCCAGATTATCTACAAGAGCCAGGAAAAATTGTTGAAAGTTTGTACTGACGGATGTTAATCAAACTAATCAGATGTCTCGAACTTGGAGTGGACTGTCTGAGTTTTTACTTTTACAATTTTTCCGCACTGGTCTGAATGTTTCACTCTCGCATAAAATCACCACAGTAAAAAAACTGCTTGTTTGTGATACACTTTTATAACTAACCCTCAGTATCAGTAGCCAAAGAGAAAATGATGGGACTTGAAGACTTAGCAGCCTTGTTAACAACATAATCATGAATATCACATAGGCATATGAAATCACTTTTATAAACTGAAAGCGTCTGGTGCATTGCACGCATATTTTTCTCCCTTTAGTTTCTCCGAAAAAGGTTTCAAAAAAGCCACCAGAGTTATATCAATTGAGGCAAGTTTATAGGTGGAAGTTAATCTAGATAAAAAGAGAGGTTTATTTCTTCCCACACTTGCTCGCTTCAATCTCGCTTAGAATAGTTTTTGTCATCAAAATTGTTAGAGCATGTTAGTAATTTATTTGTGATCACTGCTCAGTGTTCGTCACAATTTATTCGCGATATGAAAACGTATTCAGCGGTTGGTATGCCGAGCTGAGACACTGATGCTTATATTGCCGTACTCTGATTTGATTCTAGCGCACTCTATAAAACGGTACCACCCGCTTATGAGAACATTAGAATACAGTTGACTTGTCTCCCACTTCAGAACAGTTTTGGTGCATCAAAGCATGTGCAGTATATCCTGGAAAACAAGTAGTTTGAAGTTACAAAGTAATTTCGAACCACTCTTATGGTAGTTGTGTTAGTTCGAAGAACAGGTCACTTCGCAGGCAAGCGTAGTATATTCTGGTTAATGAGTAAATGAAGACGCATGAAATTTTAAAATACACTTTTGTCTGGGGGAAAAAAACTCTACAGCAATCACAGTTTTGACTGGAGTTTACTCGTGTCACACTTAAAAAAGCTTATAGACAGGCACCAATTCACTAAGCTACACTCTATGCATGAGTGATGGTTACTAAGGCTGTTCTCCATCTTGTGTAAGCATGATTAAGGGGCTAAATAGATTCTTCTCCTGGTCAAAGCCCAGCTCATACTGCCAAACTTGATTCTTCGGTGGGGCGTGATTTGTATCTTAATCAAGAATTGGATTTCTCAGCGTTGATATTTCATTCTAGCTGCTAATTCTAGACTTTGTTGAATGCTGCATGTCAATCAACGCGATGGAAACCCGCCGATTTAGCTTCTGAAAAAAGCGAAGAGAATAAGTCTCTTTCTGTTGCTAAGTCAGACCAAGTCAATTAATCTGAACTAAGCAGCTTTTATCTGTTACTTTAAACTCTTACCAAGATAATGAATATCTATCTCTCTTATTCTATCTCTCTCTCGTGTTTCAAATGTTACCCTCAAATCAGCCAATGATCCCCTGCTAAGAAAAAAATGGTAATAGGAGGGTTCGCCCCTTCTGGTTTTAGAAGATGAACATAAAATTCAAAACACTCAATCTACCTCGTCGATCTTTCATCTCTGTAGAGATCACGAGGAACGATTTTTCCGCGTGTCTATGGGCCTCTTAAAAATGAAATGATCTTGTGTCTTTTAAATTGCTCACATGTATGGATTTGATGAATATACAATAAAATATATATATATATATATATATAAATATATCACAGTTAATAGATAAAAATAAGCCTATTGATGATTGAATATTTGAATAAAGAAAGATATCTCGCCGAATATTTTGTCCAGCAGTAATGCCCCACACGCCGTCTCAGTCCCTTCTCGGTCTTCCTGAATAACTTAAAGCTGAAAGCTGACTTCTCACTTAAAACATATAATTTGCAAGAAAATGACCAATGATACAGCAAGTTGCTAAAGTTTGCGGCCTATGTACCAACTATAAATATCTTTCACTGTTACTAGACCATATGACGTTCTTTTGGTTTCTTTAGAAAGTATCTTAATATTCATGCTGTGCTTGAAACATGCATGACATACATGACAAGGAATGGAGTGTATTAACTAGCCAAGTGCACCTTTGTTCTCAATTAGTCTGTTACAGTTGAGTTATGGCAAACAAAAAGCAACAAATAATCGCATCAGGTAAGTTATTCCCACACTCCGCATTGTGACCGTGAGAAGTGGATGGCCATGCATAAGATTATCGTATCTGTCTCGTGTCTATCGAGAGAATGTTTTGTCTTATCACAATTTTTTTCAATTGAATATTAAGTATATAATGGGTAAGCCTACTCTCGCTCTCTTAAAATGCGTTATTTGATGAAAAATCGCCCTTACACGAAGAAAGGATCACTGGGCCAAGATTTCCCATCCGTTTGGTTTGCAAAAACTTCCGCCTTGGATAAAAACGCCGCGTAATCGGGCAAATGCGTGTAGTAACTCGTCCGGAAATTGTCTAATTGTCTCAGTAAAGATTCCCGAATACGAAAAACATCTCACCCCCCTTCCACGGCACAAAGCTGACAAAATTCAAATATGATTTAACAGTAAAGACGCCCATTGCAATGCAGGTAAAGATTTGCCTAACTTTGGTTAGATATTCTTACCTTTCCTACTTTAAAAGCTTCCAGACTTCAGATACATGTTCTCTCTCAAAGAGATGCAAGTCAATGACGAAATACCCTGCTCAATCGATAAAACTAAAAAAAAAAGTCAGGCTATTATAATATTTCCGGTATTATCCTTTTCGGCATCATTCATTGTTTCCTTTTGTGAATGGACAATACTATTCCACCAATTACTTTTATAACATAGCTAGTAAATTTGTCCAATCAAATTCAATTGCATGAGCGTGCTTCATATTCCTACTGTGCACGCTCATGACGTCAGCAAACAAATCCCTAGAGAAAAAAATTTTCCCCGCGATTTCTTATTTTTATTTTTTACTTTTTATAAAGTTCATTTACACGCATGAATTCACCTGTCAGTTTTTTGACCAATCTAAGACAAGATCGTTTACAGCGTTGCGAAATGTCTTTCTGAAACAAAATTATCAACGCGCTGAAGAGTAGCAGAGGGAATATTAATAATAGTAATTGCACTGAGTGGAGTGCAATTTGGGCTGGAATCATACTTGTGATTTCAAAATCGAACGAACGCGCAGCGCTCGTTCAATTTGAAATCACACGTATGATTTCAGACCAAAATTGCATGACACACGACACACGACACACGACACACGACACACGACACACGACACACGACACACGACACACGACACACGACACACGACACACGACACACGACACACGACACACGACACACGACACGAGGTTCAATTACCACTTTATTACATCAATTTTGAAATCGCCAAAATACAGGACGTGGTCAGTTCAAATATTTTATTGATGCAGTACTGAGCCGGTCTGAAATTAAATTCATGTCCATTTTGTTTGGAGAAAAAGTAAGAGTTAAGAAACAAAAGTTCATTTTCCTGCAAATTGATCGGTTACTTTAAACAAGCCTTAAAATCTGATTGGTTGTTTTGTTTTTAATGAAGCCTCCTCATTGGCTGGGAAAAAGATGTGATTTAAAGCAAAAATGGTGCGATGCGTGAATAAATCGTATCAACTAGAGCCAATCAGATTACAGGGACCACCAGTGATTTCAAAATGAGTGTAATAAACCCTTTTTTTTTTCAACCATGATATGAAGCACTTGGGAAGTTTGGAAGGCACTCAATAAGCTTGAGATTCTCTCGGCTACGCCTCGAGCAACTCTTACGCATCTTTCGTGATCTCCAAACTTCCCGCGTGCTTCATATCTCCCTGTACGCATGCTAACGTATGAACCAATTGTTAAACGTGACTGGTATGTTTTTTAAAATATTTCACCGCAATTTCTCAAAGTATTGTCAATGCAAGTTTTAAGATTTAGTAATGCGTATTAAGGGATTTCAAAGTTTTATCAAAGAAACATGATTGCGGTTTTGGAGATGTTATTTTGCTTCTTAATCGGCCCTGACCACTAAATTTCTTTGAAGCAACCAGTCATTTGAAAAAATATTACGCAATCAAATAAGGGTAAGTCGCTAAAAAAAACCGTGGTGCTGCGTCGGTGGGGGGGTGTAACGATGTTATCTATCTCGGCAACTAATGGTTTAAGCCGTAATTATTTTTGTAAAGGAAATCAAGTGCTTTCGCCACTATTTTCTCTATCCAAAAACTGTATGCATAATAAAGAATGAGGAAATTTTGTCCAGCTCTCCAAATGCAGGAGTCAGTAGAGTCCCTTGAACGATATTTTGTCAACAGAAAATCAGAACACTTTCATTTATGTTATTTTGTTAAGTTTCTTCTTTGTATTGTCTTATTCAGGAGACTGGCAGCGTTCATTTGGTAATTATCTACTTTAAAAGATCCCCATGAGTGACTTTTTTGTCCCTGATTGCAGACCGGAAAGTCATTTGTGAATATTTCTGTAGAGCTGTTTTTGAGCGGGGAAGAAAAAATAGGGCATAGTGTCATTTGTTTTCAACAATGTGCATCACTTCGGAGAAGTATTCAATCTTTCAGTCCATTTGAACCTCAGGAGTTACATTTCCGCGCATAATTAATTGAGCTGTGTTATGGTGTTCTGTTAATCAACGTTTTACCTTCATCGCTTAACTCGACCGACAAAATGCAATGCCGTTAAGTAATTAGATTCCTTAAGGTGACTTATTGTGAAGAAGCCTAAACTTACGTATGAACCTCCATCACTTTTAATCCTTTGTTGGTTTAGTCGCGCCCAAACTGTACACTGTGCACACCAACGCGTAGTGGATTTGCAAATCAAGTGCTTCCCTTGAAGTTTGGTCTGAAAAGGATTATGGATATTTACAACCTGGGTCTAAAAATGGTATTTTCTTTTCTGAAATAAGGCTAAGATTTGGAGAGCTGGTCGCGCACCCTTGTCAAAAGTTACAATGAAAGCACACCCCGAGACATCTCTCTCGCGTTTTTGATTTTTTAATCGTTACACGAGCTCAAAATGTTTCTTTCCGTTCTTTTGTTTGAAAGATATTGAGAATGATCCCCATTAAACTGGTTAGGTGGAAAATCAAAAATATTGACAAACGAACGTGGAAGAAGTGGACCGTGATGCGGTATTGAAATGCAGAAAATAATCGAAACGAGTGATATTTATAGAACATTCTGGGTTGTTCGTAATGACTATTTTCGCTTCAAGGATTGTTTATCGTTCGTATAAAACTGTTTCAAAAATACTTCACCATGAAACGCGTAAAGGTGTTGTAAGAATGCAGAATGGTATTTCGATAACAGCAGTTTGCAGATGTTTGGAGGAACGGAGGTACTGGAGTAGGTGTCTTCATTCTTTGATGATCCGTTGACCAGAACTACTACTAATATTTGTGACTGTTACGTTTCAAAATTCCCTAAAGTATTGTCATTCACATTTCAAGAAAAGGTTACGGAATTTTAAGGTTCTGTCAAAGAAAATTGAATTTCCATATTTGATAGGCCCCAACCACCACAATTCTATTTTAGAAACTGGTGAACATTACAGAACTTTAATACACTTTCCCTGATGTTATCTCGATTTCATCTTTCCAATAAAAAAATTAATTCTTCTTTAGAGAGACTCGCAGTCTTCTCCTGGAAATGTTCTCATTACGATTGGCTTTGTCGAATCGCGAACCGTCTAAATAATTTCCTTTACTTTTTGAAATTACGTTAAAGCGATGTGTTGACGTTTTCTTTCATCGTAAGTGTTTGATTTGACTAAAACGGCGCCAATGTCTTGAACATTTAGGATTCGCTGACTACAGAAGAGAGTAAATTATCTCTCCCCAACACGCTAATAAAAATATTAGCTTTATAGGAATTTCCTAATTTGTTGAACGTATTTTTTTAGTACTCTAGAGATCTCGTTTTGTATATTTACCACAACTGTTTACCACGTCCTGGTTGCCGTCGTCGTTTGCATTCTGATAACAGGACTTCGTGTCGTCCAATTCTGTCCGTAAACATATACGAGTGATTTAAAACAAATTCACATTCATTCAAAGTAAACTCAATTAGTAGCTATTCTGACCTTGGTACAATCGCATGTCTCACACTTAACTGTTCTTTAATATCCTTTTAAATAGGTGCAGCATGTTTGAACCAATGAGGGTAACCACGAAATTAAAAAATATATGCACTTATGTTCACTTTAAACACTCGATCTATCGCGTTTCAAACAAAGTTCACTTGCCTTACGCTTAACAGCAGTACTGATAACCTTTTGGACATGTCAGCACAGTATCTATATAAATCAAAGAATAAATGACCATAAAAAAACACTCTGAGGAAAGCACACAAAAAAAAAGTTTACTCGTGTTATACTTAATGCAGTATATTAATCGATTCTCAAAACACGTATTGTCTGCTGCTCAACGATTAAATGAAAAAGATAAGAAATTTCGAAACACACTTATGTCCACAGATAAGAAATTTCAAAACACACTTATATCTACTCAGAGTAAACTTACGGACTCACAGTTCTCATACTGAGGTTCGTTTGTGTCACTGTTTTAAACACTCTTAAACATGCGCCGATTCAGCCCAACTCAGGATGACGGTTAATGCATAAAATACTTTAATGTTTCCTCAGGTGGTGTTTTACCGTATGTGATCGCAGTGTCACAACTGAAGAGGTTCTTCTTCTTTCCAAAGCCCATTTGAAACTGCCAAACGTACAGCTTGGTGTTCGGTGGAATTTTCAGCTCAACGTTTTCGTCTTCTTTAGTGAGGTCACTCCACTTGAACTGCTCTGTGTTGACCATCTTTCCACCAAACGTCTCTTTGAGGCTATACTGAACTTTACAGAGAGCCTCAATCAATTCTGAAATTTGGGCTTTGATTCCTACTTCTTCGCTTATTCCCATCTCGATGGACCATTCCAACTCTATGGAGGACATTGTGCTCCTGTCAAATCCAACGGTTTTCTTGATGGTTTTTTCCAATTCAATGGCGGTGTCGGAGTCATTTTGAAGACATTTTACATCTTTCCAATACCCGAACACTTTTCCATGGGTGTGCGCTATACCACCAGGGATAAACTTGAGCACTGACTCGTGAACGCTGAAGTCACCGCAATCTTTGTTCAAGTTCATATTGGTGCTTCTGTGATAGGTGACACCCCATTTTCCAGCCTGCTTCAGACAGTACACATAATCATTGGTACCCCAGAAATAGATGCCATCTTGGAACGCTTGATGGATTTTATATTCAACTGCGTCTTCATCTTTGTTCATGTTACTCACTCGTCTGTAGGTACCTCTGTTGGCAAACACGATGTACCAATAACCAAAGGCAGAGTAGTAGCCGCTTCCTCCGCGACAGTTGCGATGAAGAGAGTAAACCACAGCGTCCTCGTCTTTACTCAGGTCGGTGACTCTGCGATATTCATCTCCTTTAATGATGTAAAAAAAAGAGTCAGTGGCCAAATAATGATCGCCCCATCTACAGGCCTCACTTAGACGGTGAATCTTGATATCTTTTCCAGCGTGAATATCTTCGCACCTCATGTAGACACCCACATCAGATCGGATAATATAGAAGCTGTGTTTAGTACCACAAAAGTCTATTCCTTTAGCCTCAGATGCACTCTTCGGCACGATCTCCGGATAATCTGAAGCGGCGGACATATCCTTCAGTAGTTGC